CCTGCTGAAAGTTTACACCATGGGCCACATGCAAAGGGGATAAAACAAAGCAGCTTGACTTTCAGATTCCATTTAGAGGAGAAAATCTTTTTACTTTTATACTAACTGCACAAGTCATGGTAGTATAGTAAACATACCAACTCATACAATCCTTTGCAAGATATCACTGTGCTGCTCAAAATACTTAATACTGTTGATAAAACCTCTAGTTACCCACTGATAAAATCAGATACATTTCCCTATGATTTGAATAATAATTATTACTCTAGTATCATGCTGCAGAATGTCTTTGTTATAGCATCAGTTACTTTCTTAGGCCAAGCCTTATAGCAGAGCATCTTTACACAATTCAGGCAGTATTAAAGGGGTCTTGAAGCATTTGTGAGAGAAGGTAATCTACTCTCACATGAATGTTTCTTTATTCTGCCATGGAAGTATAAATGTGCTTCTAGTGTAAATGAGAATCTGGTCCTTAAAGTCTGTGTTTGCTGTTTGTTATTCAAAGTACACAAATTTTATTTCACAAATGCATGGCTGACAGGTTATGATAAAAGAAAAATTAGAAGTCCTGGGTTAATTAGCTCAAGAAACATATTTTAGAAATATCAAAAAAGTATAAGATTGGGACTTAAATTAAAACAGACATAAATAAAGCATCGTCTAGAAAAGACATGTCACACATTGGCCTCAGTCCCTCAGTTGTGAAATTAAGCACATTTACAGAATTTTGGCCATGCTCTTAAATTTACATAATCTGGAAAAGATCAGCCTGGACTGAACTCTGCCAAATCACGGCAGGTATAACAAGATGGTAAGTCAGAAATGTTAAAGATTTGCATTAATTGCCAAATATGTCTAAATCTATTTTTCTTCGATTTCTAGTGAGCAGATCTCACCAGAGGCAGACATCTGAAGAAGTCTACATAGAAGAGCAGCACTCAGATTTTGAGAAGCTGCACACCTGTTTGATGTGGTCATTAGTCTAAGAGAAAATTCCCTATCACATACATTCTCCTCAGGATTTCTTTTGAGATTTAATACTGCATTCTAAGTTCCAAAAAAGAGAACCTTGCACAAATCATTCAAATACAAAAAATGAACAACAGGACCCAAATATGCCTCAGCATCTACATGCCCCATTTTGCATAACCACCTTCACTCTAACAAACTTATATTTGAATTCTCTTATATTCCTTTAGTTTAATAAGCTATCTAACAAGATAATTTCTGATGCATTTGTATAAAAGAACAACAATCCCCTTACCTATCTTTTCTACGTTCTCCAATTGATACTGGGCTAATAGAAATCCTTGGTAGTGTAGAAAGGGAGTTCTGTGACTGGCTGCTGGCAAAGGAAGATGTCTCAAGGTTAAGAGGCGACTGTGGAGGAGTTATAAGGCTGGGACTGCTACATTCAGAATGTGACAAGGAACCTGTACAAAATAAGAAGAGGATTGTGTATGGCACTGTATGACTGAGGGATCCATGATGAGATATTAATTGTCACATACAGTATAAACTCAATATATAATGTCTCTAAACACACACACTATTAAGCATACTTCAAAATATGAAGATATATGCTAGGTCTCTTAACAGTGAGAACATTGGTTTAAAGCTGAGACACTGAACACAGGCCACAGGAAAGCTCCATAAAAACATACATAATGCACAGCAAGATTATAAAGCCCAGCCATAATACAAAATCAAGAAAATATAGGAGACAATGAAATAAAGATCTCACTACTGGGTATGGTCTAAAGGAATGTTCTTTTAGATCACAAAACACATTCTCCTTATTTCTGGGCAAAGAAAGTCCTACAAAACATTTGGAAGTGACAGGAAAACCCAAAGTCTATACAAATTACCTATTTTGCAAGAGGCAATTATTTCTTAGGGTGATATCTTTTATTGGACCCACTGCATAATCAGGATAGAGTTAAACAAGCTTTCAATGCAAGGCATTCTTCTTCAGGTCAAACTGGGTTAAAAATTCAGCTGTAATTTTACACAACCTTGCTCTGTGTTTCCACCACTTTTCTGTTCGCTCTCCCCATGAATTTTTTACTCAACAAGTTCACTGGCAGGAACATTCAATGATTTACATTATCAGAGATTATTAAAGGAAGTAAAAATTTACGTAACGGTAACCGAAAGCCATTTATAGGAACTGCATTCACCACTTGGGGTATAGTAACATAGCAGTGTAGCAAAACCCCCAGTTTTTCTTATTTCTTTTCGATTTGTAATTTTTGAATGTCTGAATTATTGAATACTTAAATTATGGAAAATAAAGGATAAAAGTAAAGAATATTTACCTCTGTCAGAACCTATGACGGACCTTGGATACCGTGGTGTTAAAGGGATCTTAATTCTTTCCGTTCTATACTGCAAATTGGTGGAAGAACCTATATTTACAAGAAAACTTCAGAATGTTTTGGCAAATGTAACAGCAGCTATACAAAAAATGCTGCCCCACCCCCATATATGCATGTAACCAAAATAGTTAGACTCTAATCCCTCCAACAGGAATTAAATGGTTCCTCGTGGATGCAGAAATTCAGGAGTTCACTTCTAGCAGTACTGGGGCTTTAAAAAACAACCTTGCTGGGGTCACTTGACTCCCAGTTGTCTTTCCTGCTTGGTACAGGGGGGCTGGACCCAATGATTTCCCGAGGTCCCTTCCAGCCTCACAATCTATGAATGAAAACCTTTATATTCAACACTTTTGTTACAGGCAAACTGCCTAATTTAAACTGTATTGCTAAAATATAAATATTCTAAATATAGCTAATATAAATAATTTATATAGCTAATATATAGACACACTACCAAAGAATTGTACGTTATTTGTTGAAAATAATATATTTGTTTACTTAGATTTATCTGTCACCCTCCTTTAATAACGGCAGCACATAACTAAATATTTTACAAAAAACCTAATCAAGAAAATTCCATCACATCTGATCTTTAAGCATCCCATAGCACATTTTGAAAAGAATTTACAAAAATTTTGGTTCTGTTCTAGTTTAAATTAATAAAGTAGCATATTTCCTGTCTTAAAGTGTCACGTAATTTTTGCAGCGATAGTTTTAAAGAGCTTTAGCTGAATTTCAGTAATGGATCATGTCATTCTTGAAGAAAGAATTTTTAAAATAGACTTTGGAAAGAAAAGAAATAGAAAACATTTTTTTAAAGTTTATTGCAAGAGAATGTATATGTTTAAATATTACTGTAATGGATATAGACACAAATATAGATAATATCAATAATGTATAAAGTGAATATAAAATAATTAAATACAGAGGCATTTGATCATTATTAAAACCTATCCTTCATTTTTGGGCTAACTTCTTTTTCCTTACAATCTTGCAAAAGCTCAAAACTATATTGGTCAGTTCCCTCTAATTGGTGATAACAGCAAATTATGCAGCACTGAACCACTGGGCAACAACATTTTAAAGAGGGTCCATAAAGGAGGTTTCATACTAATCCACCCAGTTGGCAAAAAAAGAAAGTTAAATTACATTAGCCAGAAGCATGAATCAAGGGAAACTAGGAGGCTCTTTGAGTTATGAGAGCATCATGAAAACTGCTTTGAGGGGCAGCATTTTTGCTATATTGTTTACCTTTAACACAAGGGAGGGGTATTTCCCCCATGAATGAATGTGAATGCTAGTTACCGAGTCTTGCACTGGAAGGTAATGAATTTGAACCATGTGATGCTCTTGTACGCGAATTTTCAGAATAATCACTGGAGTGTTTGTGACTGAGGTCCAAACTCAGGCGACCCTGGTGCTGTGCACTGAATTAAAAAAGCAACGTAGGTTATAGTATCATCCAAACAATTTCTTCAGAACTAACCAGTAGAGCTGTGTGATTTCTTCCTTGCTATAAAACATACACATTCAAGTGTATTTTGGGGAAGTATGGGGGGGGATGGCCTCATTCTTCCTGTTGACACTGATCTATTTAGTATAAAATAACTGAAAAACCACTGATACCAAGAAAAAACCTGAAGATTGAAACACTCCCCTGAGAAGTGGAACATCTGAATTCAGTTAATATTAAATTAGTTAAAGTGTTAAAAAAACAACAGGAGAGACTGAGCATTCTCCACCCCAGAATTATCTGTAGCTTGATTAGGGTACTTTCTCAGAGGTTGCAGATGTGGCTCTAAATTCCCTGACAGATGGGATCCTGGGTTTACCAAATCCTAAGCAAGTACTCTAATGCCTAAACTACTGAATAAAAGGGGACAGATCCACAGTCCACCAAGGGCCCCTCTACACATTACAGGTATCGCACAATTAACTGGCTAACTGTGCAATTACCTTGAGACCAGCTACATGTGCAAAACAGCTATAACACCACTAAAAGCTCCAACTAGCTATGAAGTTAGACCTCAAACCTGTGTACTAACTTTATAGCTGGTTGCTATTGAGCTTTAATTTGCATATGTAACAGGGTCCCCCCTGTGGCTTGGAGCCCCATCAGCTGATAGCTGCTGTTATCCCCAAGGCTGGTGGCGCGTGAAACCCCCAGGCCCATACAGGGCTCTTGCTCCCAGCTGCGCCTCACCCACAGCAGGGACTGAGAGTCCTAAAGCTGATGGGGCTCGGGGGGTTGTGCCTCATGTACAGCTGGGACCCAGAGCCCCATCTGCTGTACAGCAGAAGCCCAGGATCAGGCTCCCCCTATCCCAGCAATAAGGTACATTTGGATCTAATGCAGAATCCCGCAATTGCACCTCCTGACATGCACATGTGGTATGGCAGAAAGCGCAATTGTGTGCATCATGCCTTTACCTGCATGGGTAGAGGAGACCCAACAGTTACTTGCCTCTATCTCCTCTTTCCTTAGTTTCCTTAAGTGCTCCAAGGGTAATGTTATTTTGTATGGACAAAATGAAAGTTTGTGGGTTTTGATTTTTGTTTTGGCAAAGAGAAAAGAGGGGAAAAAAAATGAATTCCATTCAATTTTAAAAATAATATACAAAAAAATCAAATTATTTGTACAGTCCTATTAACAATACTGCAGCCAGCAATACAAAGAAACCTAACCCTGAGCAGTAACATCCAAGTCAATAAATGCCATTTGTTTTGGTTCTAAGCTAGTTCTGTTCTCTATCACTCTTCAGACAGGTACTTAATACAGAATATCCACTAGGTTTGTAACGCAATGTAAGCTTAAAAGGGTTAAGATTTGGACATCTGTGCTATGTGTAACATTTCCTAAGAAGCACGCAGCAAAAATCTTTGTAAATTCAATTTCAGTTTTGTTTTAAAAAGAAAAGTATGCAAATCAGTCCCAGACAATAAAACACTTCAGACGTCCTAATCTAGCATCTGAAAAGTTTTTTGCCAATGTGAATGCCCTGTTTAATTAGCATATTATTGTACTCAAAGGCTGCAACCTCCAAAGGCTATTTTTATTAGAATCTTGGATTATATATATTATGATGAAATATCTCATGAAAAACAAATGTACAATAGATTACTACAAAGATCCTTCTACAGAATCCTTCTCTGTAATCCTACAACAGATCCTTCTACATAAGGTAAATAGATTCACAGTTCAAAACATATAATCAATTTTCATTTGCACTCGTATCTTCTTAAGCTTTATCAAGAAACTCTCATTCTTTTAAAATGCAATATTTTACTAGGAAGATTATTGAAAATTATTTAAGTATTAGCAGAATGTACATACTGCAACATATCACATTTATTTATTAATTGGAGAAGTTGGAGTTTGGTTTTATTTCTGGGTTTGCTGATGTCACAGCAGAGGTGGCCTTAAATAAATCAACAGTAATAATAATTAATATCTGTACACATTTATAATGTATAATCTTTAAATAACACAACATTTTCAGGAGACTAACTATACTAAGTTCATAAATATAATAAATAAATAAATATGAACAGTAAACAGTTTTGAACTAATGAAAGAAAAAAAAACAGTTAGAATTTCAAATCCAGGTAATTTTTAAATGATTAATTTCAAGGTTATATTCTGAGTTTTCTATAGAATTCACAGTCTCCTGCAAAGAAAATCTGGTTGTTTTTAGAAAAAAAATATTTTCATGTCAAAGTTATAGGTCTGTGGAGACCACAGAAACCTTATCAAGGAAGGGGCACAATACAATGTTTGTGAAAGTACTTTGACAATCTCAAAACACTGTGCTGTACTAATATGGCAGTGCCTGGCAAGAAGTAGTATCTTAATTTGTTGTAAAATGCAAAGAAAAGAAATCAAAGTTACAGGGTTTTGAATTCATACCTGGGATGCAGATGCTGATGGCAGATTTGGCTGGCAACAGATGGACAATTGTTAGTATGAACTCTATGGCTCCAAGCAGTATAAATTGGATTTCTCATGACAGCAGTTACTGCAGGACATGGTGCCAAACTTCTTGGTACAGTACCTTTTTTAATACAAACAAAAGTCTGGTGTGAGTTTTCTCTGCTAAATTCCATTCAAATATTCTAGGCATATCAAGAATGGGTAAAAGACATTTGCCTGAAACACTTATACAGTCTAGAAGTAGAAAGTGAGAGTCATAACTCCTAGGCTTAAGCCATTAAGTACTTTATTGAACAGTCTAGAATGTATTTGCCAACATAAAAATATTCTCTTTTTCCTCCATCATGAAAATGTCAACAATTTGCATAAAACAGCAATAATGCCATACTTCTAAGTAAATAATCACAAGTAGATAAGGTGGCAGATTTTAGTGGGACAAATGAAGAACTGATCGTATTTATAATCATTCTTCTTTCATTCACAGGGCTTAAACCAGGGGCAGGCAAAATGTGGCCCACCAAGCCACTCTCTCTGGCCTGCAGGGTCCCTAAAAAATTTAGAAAATTAATATTTATCTGTCCCTGGATTCCTGTCATGTGGTCCTTGATGGCTTGGCCAAAACTCAGTAAGTGGTCCTCTGCCCGAAATAATTGCCTGCCCCTGGCTTAAACACTCCCACTTCTGTTATGTCCTTTAGCCTTAGAGTATAAAAATTCACAGCACTGTGAAGTTGCTACCTATATGTAAACCTCATTATTTAAGTCTTTTTCATTTAAGAACATTCACACTTTAGTATTGTATAAAACGCTGTCTGATAAATTTTCTAGGGGTGCGCTCAGAGATTCTTTGGGCTTATACCAATCCAATTTCTGATCCGCAGCCTGGCAGCTTGAGCAGCTGGTAAGTCTATTGCGGTGGAAGAGGCGGGGGGGTGGGAAAATCGAGGACCCTGCGGTGAGGGCGGGAATGGGGCTGAGCCAGGCGCTGCCCAGCCAGGTTGGGGCAGGGAGCCGGATGGAGCCACAGCTTATGGAGGGGGGCTCCCGCCGCTGTGTGTCCCCTGGGACAGCATGGGAGGCATGTGCCACTGGATCTGCTGCTGTGGGCTGGGGCCAGGGCTGTGCTGGGCTCCTCCCAGCAGGAACTGGGCTGGGCAGCGGCAGCACTGGGAGGAGGCTACGGAGGGGAGGGCCTGCAGCCACTCCAAAATTTGCTGTAGCCCCTCTGACCCCTCATCCCAGCACCACCGCCACCCGTCCTGAATGCAGCCCGGCCCAACCTCCACCAGGAAAAGCCCGGCACAGCCCTGGCACCTGCACACAGAGGCAGCCCGTCCTACCCCACATGCAGATCCAGAGGGGCACACACACTCCATGCCCTCCTGGGAGTGTGTGTAGCAGTGGGAGCCTCCTGCCCCTCTGCCTGCCCCCACACCCCTTCCCTCCCCTACCCCCCGCCCCCATCATCATACCACACCACACTTACTAGCTGCACGCAGCTCTCCAAGCTGCCAGACTGCTCCTCACTGCCTAAGTGCTGCGCTGCGGCTGTGTGCATGCAAGGGGCATTTATCGGCCTCATTATCAGCCACATCAGGCAAAAAAAGCTAATTTCCAATAGTCAATTTTCTTTATATCGGTGCCAGTCTGATATCAGACAGATGTATCCTACTGTAGCTTAAGAAAGTGTTGTGTACTGCAAGAAATACAGAATGACTTGCTGAAGTCAAATATGCTTTCATTAGGTCTATTTTAAAATGAAGAAAAATATGGAAAAGTATGGAAAAACATGGAAGCTTGTGGCAGGATTTTTTTTCTAAAAAAATATTCCAGAACATGATTAAAATCACAGGTACTTTATCATATTGTTTACAGAAAACACTGGATTAATAAAAGTATAATGTTTTAATTTTAAAAAAAGACATCAGAGAAAGCTATACTGATATTACTGGTACGTATGAGTGATAAATCTATGGAGGAGCAAATAAGTTTTTTGCTGTTATCCAGTGATATAGTGACAGCTAAGATGAAAACCCAGGAGTTGTAACAAAAACTGTACAAAATACAACTTATTCCTTGTATGCATTTCAGCACAGTATATTTTGATGCATAAATTTATCTCTGGGCCAGCTCATTTACAGTCAGACAAATGAAAGCTGATAAACATTCTCTCTGAGATTTCCTATGCCAGTCCTAATGCAAGCCATGCCTAAGTATTCTGCATGACAACAGGAGAAGCACTGTACATACCAATGGCCTGAGATATACATCAGCATATATCAGTATGCACATCTACACAGGGTATATAGTGATTTTATGCATACATACATACAGATGGGCAAATGAAGCCCAAATGGCTACTTTGTAATATTTTTCATAGGGATACTAGTCATTTTTACGACTGATGACATGAAGTGGGCTTTGAAACAGGCTACTATTGTTGGTAATTAAAGTAAATCTCTCAGATGAGCATCTTTGTTTTGATTAGGGGAGGTATATTACAGTTGTGCTTAGAGGCCCTGTTAGAATCAGGGACTCACTCGGCTTTGCTGTTTTAAAGGACCGTCCCTGAACCTAAAACCTCAGAATTAAATTTGTTAAGACAAAAAGTGAGAGAGAATGAAACTGAACTGCAGAAAGTGACTTGCCGATAATCATGCTGCACCTACTGACACATCAGCATTACGATCCAAGCCTCTTGGGGTGTGTCCAGACAAGCACGCCCATGCCTCTTACAGCATCTCAAAGCAGTTTGAGACACCGCAAGAGGCATGCTGTGAATGGAAAAAAATGGTAATCCAAAAAAACCCCACGAAGGAAAAGTGGGGCAAGGCATGGTCCTGCACCATACCCTGGCGTGGGTCCTCCAGAGACACTCTGGTATCTGGCTAGAGCATCTCTATGGCGCTCCTGCTCTCCTAGCACACTCCCTCTGCATGCATGGGAGCAAGCAGGAGCAGTGCAAGGTTACAGCGTGACCCAGGTGCTGTCTCTGATAAGTAGGGACTGGGAGTGTGGGGGGGATTGTGGGTGTGGAGGGTTGTGTGAGGGTGTGGGGAGGGATTGGTTGGGGGTGTGGGTCCCCTGCAGGGCGCACAACCCCCCCGAGCAGCAATGGTCATCAGGTGTTCAGGGCCCACTGCTGCCAGAGTCCCTTGTGGCACAGCATGGCCCTGGCCGCCTGAGACCTGGTGCCGCCTGTGCTGCTTGTTGCAGGCCCCGCCTGGTGTGGTGCAGGGCCGTACGCCTTCAGGCAGCACTGGGCCGTTTTGGCTGTCACCTGTGGGCTTGGCAGTGCTTGCAGGGACCCCATGTTGTGCTGGGTTGGATCCTGCCTCCATGGAGCCAGCCTGGGGCATCTGGAGGCAGGACCTGGCCCAGCACGATGCACTGTCCCGGAGATCAGTGGTAGGGCCGCAGGAGAGGCTTGAGCAAGGGCCACCACACACCTGCCCTCCCACCTGCCCCCATGGCACCAGCAGCAGTAGCCAGCGCGGCCTGGCTGCAGGTACAGCAGCTGCCTGACATGGGCTCTGTACATGCTAAACAGATCTGGCCCAGCTCAGCCTGCCAGCACATGGCTTTGGACAGGACCAGGAAAGCTGTGCGCTAGTGGGGCAGGTGGGGTTCAGGTCTGTTCAGCATATACAGAGCACACATCAGGCAGCGCTGTGCTGCCACCGTGCCTCCAGCCGGGCCATGGCCACACTGGCTGGAGCTGCGGAGCATGGGGAGGAGCAAGCATGTGGTGTCCCCCACTCAAGCCCCTCCCCACAAACCCCACATGCCCCACACACAGCACCAGCAGCTAGCTGGGCCGTGCCTGCTGCAGCACTACTTCACCTGCAGTCTGTGCACAGAGAACGGGCCTGGCCCAGCTTGGTTGGCATACCTTTGGACAGGAAGGTATGGCTCCTGTCACCACCTGCATCTCCTGTTCAAGGCATGCACTAGCGGGGCAGGCTAGGCCTGACCAGGTTGGGTCAGGCTGGGCCCATCCTTCATGAGGGTGAGGAGCTGAAGCACAGCCACAGGTCTGTGCTGACAGTGGGCCATGGCCCTCATGGCCCCCACACCTCACACCCTCCACCCCCCTCCTGTAAACCCCACATTCCCCACCTACCTACACAGCCCATTTCCCCCACATCCCCCTATACCTACCCACACACCACACGCCCTCCCATATCCACCTACACACTGCACATCCTCCCCACACCACCCCCACACCCCTTCCCACCTCACTCCTGCAAACCCCAGATCACCCCATCATACACCCAGTGTGCCCAGCTGCCAGGCAGGGCAGGAACTGTGGCTGCAGGAGCAGCTGTCCCCCATCCTAGTTAATGAAGGGGTCAGGGGGAGTGCTAATTTTTCTATGATAAGGAAGCCAAAGCAAACATCAAACCATATACAAATTTAGGATTTATTTTATTATGATGATGGGCATACTGGTAGGCTTACAAACTGCTTTAACATTGTAAATATATCAGTAAAACATTGCCCAACTGATCTAGTGGTCTTTTGTTTTAATTGTGGAAGAACATGGATTTGGGGGTTATTTAAAGAGTGAATTTGGGATTTGTTTATCAGAGTATTTGCAGTTTTTATATAGGAAACATCAAGATTCCTGCTAGTGAGACAAGTGGCAGGACCCAGGCAGAGGCGTCTGCTCAGGGCTGGCACCCAGGACCCAGCTAGAGAGCAAATGGGGTGGCTGACCTCCTGGCCATTTGGGGTCAGGAGGTCATGCTTTGACAGTTCAAAGTAGGCCAGCACACTGAGAACATCTTCCAGGTAACAGCTACTCAGATGGCAGGGCGGGGGCACACATGGCAGCAGTGCCGCACAAAGGCCAACACAGCCCACTGATAACTGGCCAAGAGGTGCAGACGGTTCTGCTGCTGTGCCCATACTACAGACCAGTGCAGTCCCCGTCCAGGTCTGGCAGATATACAGATATGGGGCTGCAGGTCCAAGGGGGCAGAGGCTGTTGCAGGTGGCAGCATGTCACAGCCAAGCAGCAGCCCCCACTGCCAGACTGCTGCAGTGGGTAGAGGGTACAGGGGCCACTGTAGGTCAGGGCTGCGCAGCAGTTCAGCTGGCATGGGGGGGCTAGTGTCCCCATATGTCAACTGGCTGGGCCTCAGAAGCTCCTGAGAGCAAGTAGCCCTAAGCTGCTCACCAGGGCAGGTTTTTATACTGCTGGGGCCAGCACAGGTGCTGGCCTCAGGCTCTAGCATCCCCCTGGCTGAAGATCCCAAAGGAACTGGGCAGGGTCAGTTTGCCCCAAGTGGCACAACTTGCCCCACACTAAAGTAGATGTTCTGGCACGTGTGCTGATGCAAAAATCTCCAGCACAAATTTGTGCCGGTCCTATCTGAGCTGTTGCAAGTGCAGATGCCTGATGTGTGGATGCACCCTTGCTGTCTAGTTCAGTAGCCCATTCATTAGACCATTGTACCCAACCTTCTGGCCCTACACAGGGTTTGTCCATGTGCCAGGTCCCACAAAGAGTTAGTTCATGGGTGTGCCACCCAGCCTGAATTCAGCCACACACAGGTCTGACCATGCACTGAGTGATCTAGCACTCAGGGTAATGTTCTCCAGACCACTATGGGTCCAGAAATTTACCAGCTGGGGAACAGTAGTTAACACTGCCACCGCTCCCCCATTGTCAGTTTTCCGGACCCATGAGGAGCCCCTGCAGGCTGGACCTGGCCTGAGGGCTAGAGGTTGAGTACTTCTGTATTAGATTTCACTAAGAATCAACATCTTGTGAAGAATAAATGACTTCAATTCAAAAATTCGATCTCTCAAAGAGATTTTCCAGGTCTCTGGTTATATGTAAGCAGTACTATTTTTGCTATCTTTCTGTTTATCCCTGCTTTATGGTTCAGAAACATGGGACTACATATGCTAGGCACATCAGAAGACTGAACAACTTCTACATTAGATGCCTACACAGGATTCTAAAAATAAAGTGGAAAGACAAAATGCAAAACACAGAGGTACTGGAGTGCACAGGACTGACACATTTAGAAACCACTGTCAAGAAAAGATGGTTGGGATGGCTCAGCCACGTCAGAAGAATGGAAAGAGAGTCTATCCCCAAGAATATTTTGTACAGTGAAATTCACTGGCTCTAGAAATCAGGGTCACTCTGTATGGCGGTACCAAGATGTGTAAAACATTATATTAAGTCATTCAACGTCAATGTAGAAAGCTGGGAGGAGTGGGCAGAATCCCGTCCAATCTGGAGGGAACATCTGGCATTTGGTACAGCTCTACATGAAGTGGCTTTGATCCAGAGGATGGAAGCAAAGTGAGAAAGAAGGAAGCAGCGTGCTGTAAACTTCAACTCCAACTCAGACAACACATGGATTCATGAAACTTGTAACAAGCTGTGTCATTCTTTGGCTTGTCAGCCACAAATGGATTCATCAGGCACCTGACTAGACCTCTTACATATACACTATAGTCTAGAGAGTCAATGGTTTCCTGTAGATATTTTTAGGAAAAAAGAATGGCAGAATAGTATCTCAGGCAAGGTGCAACCAAATGCCATAAAAACACTTTGTCCAGATGGAAGATCAAATATGACAAGGCTTGAAGCTTTCCACTGCTTCAGATACATAAATAGCCAGCTTTAACAGAACCTCAATGGTTAGAAAGCAGAAGAAAGGCTTAAAAGGTGGTAAGGGGGTATTATATGCGCTCAGAACCAACTTTAATTATCAGGTAGAGTTGGTGTTTCAATACAAACATTACTAAAGATGCTTGGATAGATTTAGAAATCATGCTTTCCATACATCTGCTGAAAGTGGCTCATGTTAAAGGTTGAACTTTTAAGGAATTCATGTCAGGTCTAGTTTAGACCATCAGAAGGAACCCCAAGATATCCACAAAAAAAGTGTAAAGTCAATATACCGTTAACAAGCTATGAAGATATTTCAGATTCCTATGTATTCCCATAATTTCTATAAAGTTTTATAGTCAAAATAACCTTATCCTTGAACAACAGGCCCAATGCTAGTAGCCATGCTATAATTCTGAAGCAAGTCAAATGTGCGTGTGGGAACAGCCCTCTGAAATCAACTGTTACTGAAAGGCTAAATTACACATTTAGTGACATACTTATCAACTGCAAACAAGCATCACACCTTGTCCAATTTATAGTAATAAGTCTGGGCACTTGACTATGTTTTGAAGCACCCCGCTTAGCACAGGTCAGGTCAAAAGCATATTTTCCAGAGCAAAGTTCAGATCTATTGACAGCTTGTCTGTTCTGCTGGAACTCAAGTCTCTGAATGTGTTCTGGTTTTCCTGTTTATTTTGATCCATGCATGGGCAATATGTGGATTTCTTCTCCAGTGGCACATCAACACAAACGTGCTTTGGTTCATTTCCTAATCTAAATAGTGTCCAAGATTTTTAGAAGTTCCACCGATTTTAGGACCTCAACTTTCAAGACCTAGAAAAGGTTAATTTTTTCCCCAAATCTCTGTTTCCAAAAGGTCAAAGAGGAAAACTGATGTCTGTCTTGCAGGCTCACCAACAGGGATCCAGAGCTTGCCATGAAGCTAAGCCCAACAGTTGCAAAATATGTTATAAAAAAATCTGATATTCCTGGGAATATCAGACCTTTTTTAAGGTATCTCAAAATGGGCAACCAGATCCAGACCTGACTTTTCTAAGTATCTTGAAAATATTCTTTGCCTCTTTAGCTCAAACGCCACAAATGATAGGCAGATACTCCAGCTCTCTCATCACAAAAAGGATCGGCCATGAGCCCTTACCTTAGTCCTTGTTTTTTTGGGGCACCTTAATACAAGATGCGTTCCTTTAGAAAGAAGCAGTAAAGTCTAGTGGGCAGGGAACTGGACTCAAGAGGTATAAGTCTGGTTCATAGTTTGTAAGATGCATGACTTGGAGCAATGTAATTAATCAATTGGTGCCTCTTTCTCGTCCCCTTTTGCATGCCTTCTCTGTTTAGAATTTATTCTATTCACAGCAGGCAGCATCTCCCGGGGTATGAACAAATATACATTTTAGCCACTTTTAAAAGGTGAGTTTCTGCTGGGGAATACCAATGCAATTGTTACATCTTTGTATATATTTACGCTATACCATGAATGATACATCTCTAATCTAGAATAAGTAGGCCCTATTGGAACACAAATAATAACTGTGATTCACTTCAAGAGTCAATGTCAACCAGAAATTTTACATTTGGATAGAGAAATTAATGGGTGAAGTGTTATTGCCTGTTATGCAGAAGATCACATTAGATGGGTCCCCTCTTGCCTTAAAATTCATTCATGGATTTATGCTTTGAACACGAAAGAACATTTCTGACTTTGCTGTTAAGTAGGTTAAAACCAAGATAAAAGACTTTCAATACAGTCATTACCATTTAAAATTGGTGTTACTAACCTGCTGACATGCCTCCAGCATACAAGGAAGAAGGTGCAAAACCATCGCTATGCCTAGTGGAACGTTTTGGTGAATATGGTGCCCACTCCTGGAGGTCTGGAGACAGATGTTCTTCACTGGCTGGACAGTATTTCTGTACCTGTAAGCAAGAAGCGCATCCCAACCAACCTAGGATTAACATTTTTAGGTAGCAAACTAATTCAAAAAAGTTTTGTATAACTATGGCAGAAATAACAAGTTTTCTAGTTCTTAGCATGGTAATGCTTGCTATGTTTTGATTATTATGTTCTAGTAATATCACTACCCACTTCTTATTTTTCACTGTCTTTACTTCCTAGGTCAAGTTATCTTCATCTTCATGCTCCTTTCCACCTTCATCTCAGTTTTCATTCACTTCCACAAGGCACTCTCAGACCACTATATACATATGTATACAAAGAAACCCCACCATCTCTGGCCATCCAGTCCCAGTCTTGGGGTCTCTCTGTATACATTTCCAACTGTTGCCTTCATATTTACTTCTCCCTTCATAGCTCTGATACATTTAACTTTAAGAATGTTAGAAGATTCCACTGATTTAAGGGCTCTGCTTGAATGCTTAAGAATTATGGCATATGCCCACCGTATCTTGCAAAATGAAAGTCTGTGCTTGCAACTTACGCCTATCCTGGCGTGTAAAGAAAATGCCCTTTAATTCAACTTCTTTGTAAAACATACGGCTTGTAGTAACTGAACAATAACCACCCCTCCCCTCCCTTGCCAAGAATGAGATAGATATATTTAAAATAGAAGCTACTACCCACCCCAGTCAGTGGAGCAGCTGCTGCCAAAACAAGACTGGTATTTGGGCCTGAAAGTGCCTGGACAATGAGTCTGCTTTAAGATGCAGAGAGGGCAAATTTTTTTCTGACTGCTTTGGCAAGTCAATTTGAAGAGCTGGTGTGGGTTGCGGAAACAACTAAGTTATCCACTTCACACAGGGTAAGTTAAGGACTCTAATGAGGACTAGATTTTGTTGGCCAATGATGTAATTACAGGAAGACAAGTATAGGTTTCAGTGTACAGCATTCACAGAACTATTTTCAATAGAAAAAGTTTACAGCTTAAAAAGCTGTGAGATATACACACACGCACACACACACACATACACACAAAGAATACATTCCTAATAATTACTTATCGGTTAATGTGACAGGAAAGTTTTGTTACATAAAAGGAGAAAATTAAAAACCCACTGACAGACATTCATAAGACCATACAGTGGTTTCTGTGTCAGCAGCAAACATGCTGTTACCCAAGCATGACTAGTGCTGTTTGTGAACTGTCCCCTCTTTCTATTTATCTTCATTAAAAATCTTGGGTATACTCATCACCTCTGGATCAAGGGGTGGATGCATAAGGTGCACCAACCTAAGGATAACCCCAGGAGACACTGGGCCTAGAGACAATTCTTTGAGGCATAAAGCCTCCCTTGCTCCTTGGCCTAAGCCCGCTGATGGGTCGCAGGGTCTTCTGACTTGCTGAAAGATCAGGGGAAGAGTAAACACACAATACTTGTACAGGTGCTTAAGTCCAAGTCCCCATGAAATTATAGGATGTGAAGCTAGTTGGAGACCAGATATGTGTTTAAAAAATATTACCCAACCAGAAAGTTGGAATTTTGGAGATGGAGTGCACACTGTTAGTAAACCAAAATTGTTGGGTTTGCAGCAGGGTTTAAATAAATATCCATAAATTAGTAAAGATTTTGCATAATATATCTAAAATAAAGCCTTATGCTGAGACAAGCATGAGTATCTCAACTATATAAGATAACATTTTAGAGACGATACAAACAAGTGAAAAGCAGTAAGTTATAACAAAGCCCCCAACCTAAACTTGAGTAAATATAAGTTTATCTACAAATTATTATATGTAGCAAAATCACTGAGAGAAATTTTCAGCATAAAAGGTACTACTATGAATGCAATTCTTAGAAGTATTCTTCCAGAAAACTTACTGAAACCCTGCTGTGAACCTGCAAGTTTTGCTTGACTAATAGCATAGAGAAAATTGCACACACTCTTACACCTGCAAAAGTCCAACCCTCTGGTTGGGGGCACTATTCTTTCAATACACAGCAATGTTTCAATCATTTTAAAGAATGGGAGGCAAAATTATATTTTTATTGTCAGAAAAAATATCTGTTGGAGCTGTAGTCACTTTTCTGACACCTGTAAGACTACTGGAAAAGTGCTGATAGCTAGCACTGACATGACATGACCAAGCTCATCTGGTCTTGCATATTCCCTCCATGTTGGTTGGTGCCAAAAAAAGGCATAATATTTTCTGGTTAGAAATTTAAATGTCACATGTGAGAGCTCTTTACATTTCTTATATTACTGTAATAAGTATTACATAACATTGCCATAGTTTTTTGGATTTTGTTAACAACATACTCAAGACAGGACGGAGATGTCTAAAATTAGTACTATGAACACCTGCTACCAAAGAATACAAAATCCATGAAGCAACTATCAAACCAGATACTCTTATTATAGGACCATCACAGCTTTTATAATACCAAAGTTCTGAAAACTATTTTTGCATTGCACAATCTAAAAGTCTTCATGTTTTATAAGTGACATCTGATTTGGGCTGTTTTAATAAGGCCTGTGTTTTCAGCATGTGCTGAGTGTACGTGCTCTGAAGTGGCGTATCAGGCACCCAAATGCACAAATACCTTATACAAATACTGAACAAGGTCCCTGCTTACTGCTGCCACATACTGAATTTCTACCTGAAGTGACGGATTAGGGATGGGCACAGGGGTCATTTTATGCCTCAAAGCAGGAGCAGATTTTGGTCTTGGCCTTTTCATCTCTGGCTCTTCAACTCTTTGAAAGCCAATGTCATCTTCACAGGATTTTCTTGAGGACAGATGAGCACAGTCAACTCCCTCCTCCCGGTAATAATGCCCAGCGTTCCTACTGTGCCCCTTGTGAGTGGCAGAATCCTGCTTAAGTGCCAAAGGAACGGGTGCTTGGACAGTAGCTGGACTGGTAGGTGGGGATCCAGTTGTTACAGTAGAGTCTGATGCAGAACTCGTCTGCTGTTTATGTTTAAACTTAATAGAATCACTTCTTTTGGGAGGTGTTGGAGGAGCTGACCCAACTTCCATTTTTGAGGGCTGAGGCGAATGGCCTGACATTTGATTGGGAGAGAGATATTCCAATTTGGGAGGAGTCTGTGGTCTTTTGAAAGTGTCAGGATCAAAGATAGATTTCCTTTGTTTTGGCTTTTTATACACAGAGAACTTTTCTGTTTCTACTGTTGAAATGTTTACCATCACTTTGGGCCAAGTGCCACCGCTATGCTTAGCTCCATGGCCTTTGTCTAATGTGGTCTCAACCATGATGCAGTCATCTCCTGTGGGCTCAAATGGCAACCTTCTGTTCTCCAAGTCAACAATTGCATAGCCTCGCTCCCCATAGGCATCTGGATTAAAGGAACTGAGACTATGTTCTGAATTACTGTGGCAACCGTGCACCATGCTCCTGTGAGAGTCTGCTCGTAAAGCACTATTGGAAAAGGGCTTGTGATCACAAAATGAACCACTACCCTGGTCACTCTGGTCCTTCTTGCCATCCAGGATTTCTGGATTGAAAATGTCCGTTTGCGTTGAACTGTTGAGTTTCAGATTTCTTTTATTTTGAGCTTGTATCTCTGATGTATGAACCCTACCATTTGATATTTTCTCTGAATCTTTCAGGTTTTCAAATATGTTTTGACCACTCCAAGATGAGCTCTGAGGAAAAACCTAGGAAGAGAAAAACACTTAATCATGTTACTGTTACAGTACATTGTCATTTTTACATTGAGCATCCTCATTCCTGTCTAATTTACACTAAAGTAAATACAAACTAAATGAAGGATGAAAAAACCCTTTAATTTTGTAAGAAATAATCATAGAAAGTCAGCATGGTGTGCTAGACAAGGCACTGAACTGGGAATCAGGAAACATGGGTTCTAGTTCTACCAGTGACTTATTGACTCATTCCAGAGAAATCGGCTTTCAAGAACTTTCTTTCCATGTTTTGTCAATATTGTCTATTTATTGCTTATAATCTATAAGCTTCCTTAGACAGGGATTGTTACTAACCATGTGAATGTGATGCACATCATACATGTTGGGGTCAACAGGTACGACCACAAGGAATAATGATCTATACTGAGAACTGTGCAGAACAAACATTTATGGACATCACAGACAGAGTCCATTTGCCCTAGGTCTACCCTAATCTGGAAGGGGACCCTCTCCATAGGGCAAGAGGAAAATTTTGTTTCCATGTCCATTCAGCCACTGGACTTCCTGAAACTTTTAATGCTGACAACAAGGAAGCTAAATTAACATTAATTGTGCTGCAGTTATTTTAAGTGAACAGCATTTCCTTAGGAATGGGCCCAAGAACAAACAACTTCACATATTGTACAATGGCAAACAGCCTTCTATGGTGTAGTAATTATCAATACTGCTCAATCATAAGTAAATCAGAACAAAGCCATTTCAGTACTGGCTTTTGATGAATTTCCACACCAGTCTACTTCATACTTGCTCTTCCCTCTTCTTTGCACAGTTAGAAAAACCTGAACATCTGGCTACCTGTATAAACAGAATCAAATCCTGCAACTTCATATTAACACTCACCTTCATCAATGAAAGCGTAAGAGAATCCCTACAGTTTCTTAGCAAAGCTTCACATTCAGTCAGCGATTTATTATCTAGTGCAATGCCATTAATCTGCATAAAAACAAATAAATATTTAGCAAAACAGAGGTAGCAGTCTGTGATCATCTTTCTTTACTTTCTATGTGATGGGGAAAATACTGGTTATATTAAATAAATCATCAATTAAAGCAGAAAGGAAAATGTCAGTACCCTGTTTGGGATTAATTTTGCATATCAGTGAAATCAGTCTTTTCACAGTCACAAAGAATCAACAGAGCTATACTATAAGTTGAACTACAGTTTTGAATTTCCCACTTCACTGTAAATGGAGCTTAACTATGTTGTTGCTCCACTGCGTACCTCTACTTATTCTTATGCAGCTGCAAAAATCCAGTACCCTATCAGCTTTGAAAATATGTAGCTTTTTATTAAAAAAGTTGTTATTTATTGCTCTCCTCTACAGCAGGCCTCAGAATACAGAAGTAGTGCTGCGAAAGAGATGGGATCTAACCAGTTTCTTAAATTTGGTCTAGGAGCCATTTCTTCAGTTCGAAAGAAAGACTGAAGGTAAAAGGCAGGCCTCCATGAGATTTCTCAAATCACAGGAGTTCTTGAAGATAATCAAGTATCCAGGTTGTAGCCGTATTGGTCTAGAGGAAAAGGCAATCAGGACTCATAGTAGCGATGGTATCTTTTATTAGACCAACAAGATTTTTGCAAAAAAAAATTATTTAATTGCAAGCTTTCGGGCACAAACACCATTCATCGGGCATTGGAAAAAAGGTTGTAAAAGTTCTCCTGGACAGAAATGAAAGTTCATATTTCATAGGAATCTGAAATATGAACTTTCATTTCTATCCAGGATAACTTTTACAACCTTTTTTCCAATGCCCGATGAATGGTGTTTGTGCCCGAAAGCTTGCAATTAAATAATTTTTTTTTGCAAAAATCTTGTTGGTCTAATAAAAGATATCATCGCTACTATGAGTCCTGAAGATTATCAAGGTATTTAACTAAGTCAACTTCTCCACTTTAAAGGGAGAATAAATGTGGGACCATCCCAGATAATATTTATTTTTAACTTGTAATGGCAGAATTAGTCTTACCTTATCACCTACTGTGAAAGGAGGAAGTTTGCATGATTTCCTTACATAACATCTGAAGAAAGAATTACTGCAACCACACTATCAAAACTTCCCCAAGAGCTGAAGGCCCCCTCCATGGGCCTTATATTTTCTATTACGCAGCCAACCTACAAATATTAACACATTATTCTAAAGCAGGGGTGCCCAACCTTGAGCCTGCTGGCCAGATATGGCCCCTGACACTGTCATCCAGGCCATGGGGCTCCCCAAAAGTCCTAAAGTTTGGCTGTGGGGGAGTGGTAGCACTGCACCCCTGCTGCCAAATTTCCAGATTCATGAGAAGCCCTGGGCCCTACATGCTAGACTGGATGCAGAGGGCCCGAGCCCAGCATGCAGGACTGGGCAGGGGCAGCACTGGGCCCCAGGCAAGCAGGACCTGATCCTGGCACATGGGGCCCAATTCTGGTGCACAAGCAGAGTTAGGAAGACCCTGGGCAACATGGGGGGTGGGGAGCCCCTCATCTTATATTAGAGAAGAAGCTGTGGGGAAGGAGAGGTCTGAGGCCTGAGCTGCTGTCACTGCAACTGCTGCTGCATAACCATGCAGGGACCAGAGGCACCATATGTTCTATGGGCCAAGCCAGAGCAGGACCCCAGCCAGAGCTGGAATTGCAATGGGAGGGTAAGCACTTGCGGGGGAGGGGGTGGAGGGGAGGAAGCAGGGCAGGGATGGTGCCACAGGGGGTCAGGAGAAGATGGGTTTGGGGCAGTACCTAGGGAAACTGGTAGGTGGTTTGGGCGCATGGGGATGTGGAAACAGCACAGGGAGCAGGCAGCAGAGGGAGTAGATGAGGGGGGAGGGGAGACGATACCACTTGCCTCCCCCACTGACTGGTTCCTACTGCTTCCTGCCTCTCTGCAGTGGTGGTGGGCAGGGGGGATTTTAAGACTATCCTCCAAAACACAGATTCTATACATGGAAATTATAACAAATTTATAAATATTCCATTATTAGAATCTAATTATTGGAGGTCGTTATAAATTCAAAGTCGTCTTGGATTTGGGTAAATATAGTTAATTACCAAATGAATAAACAAAAGAAAACATGGTGCAATGAACCAAATACAGATTATATAGTTGGAGAGTTAGTTAATAAAAGACATACGTCACATTCTAGTTGCAGTAATGAAATTGTAGAGAATATCTTCTTTAAACTTACAGCAATTATTCTGTCTCCCACAGTAAGGGACCCCTCTTTGGCAGCTGGGCTACCAGGCACAAGAGCAGCAACAAACAGTCCATTTTCTAGACTGATTCCACTATCTGAAATCCACAAGATAAACCTGAATTCACTCTTGCATTTCAAATAATTTAAATGCATATATGACTTGTCTGCTTCAAAAAGAAATGCATATAATAAGAACGCAGTAAAAATTAAGTGGACTTCCTAAAATTGAAAATCCTTTAAACAATGGGGGAAAATTGTTTTGGTTATGCCAAAATTTAACACAGACTCTTTCGCTAGAGGACAAAGATTTGAGATATTTGGCAAGCTTATTCATGTGAACTCCAATATAAGCTTTTATAATAGAGGGTAAACTGAAGAGAAGAAGGTTTGTATGAAAAATATTCACTCAAGAAACCTATAACTGACTCTATTATTTCTTGTTCATTTAAAAAAACAGCTAATGACAAATCTTACCTGAGATAAACTGTGATGATAAATAAGTAAACTAATACACTGACCCCAAACCTCACATTTATATAATTACCTTTATGGCCAGCAATATTGATATGCAGAGGTGTTATCATTCTCCCTCCTAAGGACTTTCTTCTTCGCACCACCATATTAATAACTCCTCCTCCATTAAGTACAGCTTTTATAACTTGTTTCTTATCCTTATTAGTAAGATCCACATCATTTATCTTCAGGAGCCAGTCATTTACCCTAGAATGAAAATAAAGGTAAAGAATAAGAATACTTTGCTGCAAATATGCAATTATTAATAGAAGGGCACATCACAGTTGGCCCTAATACCATCTTGATATGCTAACCCTTTTTTATTTGAAGTCCCTTTGTAAAATTTCTAAGAGAGCACATTTTTTCAGCATCTTGAAATGATTCCGACTAAAACATTGGATTCATGGTCCCGCAACCAGTGCCTACCTAACCCATTTGCCCAAAGTGTCTTTTAGTCAATTGACCTTATCTAGTTATATCATGGAAAAAAATCTAGTAATGACAATCTTATGAGCTATCTAGTAAACTGTCTCACTTGCCCTGAAATGACAAAAAAATTCTACTGACACTATAGGAATCAGATAGTTTATCTTTTCAAATACAGGTACACCATACATTTCACAAACACTGAAATAAACAGAACATTCCATGCTTGAAGAGACAGCATCCAGTAGGGCTGTGCGAAGCTTCGGTCGCTGATTCGATTTGGCAGAGATTCAGCCCGATTTGGCAGCTGAATCTCCGAATCGAATCAGGGCACCCTTTAATCTCTCCAATACTGAATCGGAACCCTCCAAATTGATTCAGAGAGTTTTGACGAATCAGACATAGACACAGCTTTAAATGTTTTTTCTACATACCTTAAGGTACCAGGCAGCTTGTGAATGCTGAGATGCTGGGGCGGATGGAATGTCCCACAGGAGCACGAGGGGACTCCCCAGCGTGCTCAGCAGCAGACCCAGAAGTGGACCAGAAGCACTTCCGGTCCACTTCCGGGTCCACCAGGGAGCGCGCTGTGGGCCCCCCCTGCATCCCCCCGGCTTGGTGACTGGTGCCTCCTGGGTCTGGGGGGGCACCTGGGGTCCCCCGCAGCCGATCGCCAAGCCAGAGAGGCATGCCCGACCCCAGCATGCTCCCCAGAGGACCCAGAAGCGGACCAGAAGTATTTCTGGTCCACTTCTGGGTTTGCCACCAAGCACGAGGAGGGCCCACCCCCTGCACTCCTGTGGGACGCTCCATGCGCCCCAGCATAGCGGTGATCACAAGCTGCACCTGGTACCTCAAGGTATGTAGAAAAAACTTTTAAAGCTGGGTCTATGCCCAAATCGCTGATTCTCCGAACTGGCATCGAATCTTCAGATTCGGCCAAATTGAATCGGGGACAGCGATCCGAATCAACAAATCGAATCACTGTCCTATTCGGGCCAAATCCGAATCAAATACAGCCCATTTCGCACACTGCTAGTATCCAGAGTAAATGCTAAAAAGAGAAAAAAAAATTGGCAAGGGCCAACACTTCAAGCCAGCATGATATTTTTAATTTTTTTTTAAACAAATCAGTAAGTCCAAAATGGTTTGAATCATTTCTACAACGTACAGAAACAATCTTTTTCATATTAACATTTGCAGCCAATTTCCCACTGAAGTTACTAAGGTGCTAAAATGCAGCTCTACAATGAGAAAGCTGGACTTCCCAAATTGTTTCAATCTTTTGTTTATAATGAATACTATATTCTTTCACACAATGCATATTTTTCCCCAAAAAAACAGCTGTTGGAAATTGCTGTGCACGTAATATGTGAGAAATTCAGTAAAAACAATTCTTGCCAGTTGCAGCCAAAAGGGAAACAAAATCTGCAGGCAACTCACAGGGAGTAAAACAATGAGCAGATTCTGCTCCTTAGTTGTTGCTACTCGGGTATTTACTACAAGGAAAGATCTTTTAAAATGTACATGTGAGAAAATATGATATGTCAATTATTAGAACCAAACCAAAATAAAAAATATATTTCAAAGTGGCACGCAAAAATCTACCACGTAGCACACTACCTCAATCGACCATCCGCGATGCTTCCTTTGTCTACTTTGGTAACAAATATCCCACAGTCTCCAGGGAGGTATGGTTCATTCACACCCTCTGCCACATCAAAACCAAGTGCTTTTAAATCCATATCCTCCTAAAAAAATATTAATATTACAAGTGACTGAAATAATATACAAACTATTTTGCAGCTGCATGTAGGGAGAAAGTACAACTTTAGTACATTTTACTATCCCTTGTTAAGGTTTATATCCTCAAAATAAGTCCCCAAAAACTTCTTACCTTTTGTTTAGAATTAATCTTCCCCACTAGATTGTAATCACTTGAATATATGAAAACAACCTTGTTCACTTGAAAAGAATTTTAAAAGTAAGAAATTGGTAAAAAAGCTGATGCAGCTTGTGTTAAAACCATGCATGAAGATTACACAGGAAAAGGAAAACTGGGTACAGAAGAATAAAGCACCGGATAAAGGAACACAAGAATTTGGACTACAAATGGAAACAGTACTAATACTGGTGAGATCAGTAGTCAGATACGGGTGCACCTAGAAGATACATTCTCCTGAATGAGACTAATGAGAAATTAATGGACTGGCTCTCCTAATGGAAAGAGGATAATTGACAAAAATGGAAGCACAGGAACTAATAGTGTAGGATATGAAAGGGGTAACAGAAATAGTGTTCTAATCTTGATTACTATTTCCACTGTATTCCTGTAATCAAGACTGGAACACTAAGGATAGACATTGTTCAGGAAAAAAGAAATTCAAGGAATTTCGCAGTACCGCACGTTAATGGACTGTATAAAATACAAAGTGACATTAGTTAAAATTGAGTCCAAATCATTTGAGGGAAGGATAGTAGAAGATGGTAATGAAAGAAGCCTGATGTAGACTGCCATGGTTGGATTTAGATATGTATAAAGACTACATTACTTTTCTTAGAGTGACATTCTGTAAGGCAGCGCAAGCAAGAAAACTCTCTCGCTTTCTGTCTTTTTTTTTTAATTTTTTTATTTTAAGGTTCATGGAAGAAATAGCATGACAAGCTAGGGGTTAGCTTGGAGAAAGTTGTTAAAGCATGAACACGTTATGCCTGCCAGCAACTTTGGGTTCTTGAGGTAAGTCAGTATGTTCCTGAGGCATGCTTGAGTTTACATTACAAGGAACTGGCCATGAACATAGATTGGAAACATAAACATTTTTATCCTTTCTATTCAAAGGAGCGAGGTTGTGGAACTCTTTCAGTAAGATCAAGAGTTAAGAATCTTAACCAGTTTTAGGAGGAAGCTCAATCAGTTTACGAAGGGGATTATATGGTGTGGTTGCCTGCAACAGCAGGGAAAAAGAATCAATAACTCAGAAATTCCCTTCTAATCCAATGTTTCCGCTTCCTTAGCATCACTGCTAATGTTAATTTGTGCAATTACCCACTATGCTTCTAAAGAATATATTAGTGGTAAGTGACTTGCCTAACTTACAAAACAAGTTGGCAAAGTTATTTTTGCTTCAAACTTCAAAGAATGCAAATTCTTTGCAACAAATCTTTTATGTTAATGGTTTTATGCTAATGTGATTTTTTCACATCTGGTTATCTTATTTATTGCAAATACTACAATGAAAATAAGTAACTTTTTAAAAATATATATTCAACCATTGGTATTTTTTATAAAATTGTGTGCAAAAGTGTTTCTTGTATATTCATTCACAAAAAATGCTAAAGTCATCAGTATACTTACTCTGTCTTTTTCAAACTCCACCACTTCTGTTTCCCATTCCAGAGAATCTGTGTCTATGGCTGAATCATGAGAACTGTGGGCCATTAACTGCCTAAATCTGGCTTCTTTTTCCAACTGGTTCTCCATCTTCTCTCTAAGGAATTAAAACATTTTAGAAGTGCCCCCTTTAGGAGATACAAATGGATTAAATTTTCTTTTTCAGTCCCCTTACTATTTTATCACTTCAAGGTTCATTAAAATTTGTCCCATCTCTCCATGTTGGCAGAAGTCTAAAACGACTTTTAAAAGCTGGGTTTTCTTCATCCTTCACTAACTTTCTCTTACATCAGATGGACAAAACTTACTTAAGAAAAAAAATGAAATAAAGTATAATGCACAGATAGGAGTCTAAAGTGCCTGCCATGAAAGATACCAAATTTTACCCATACATGAGCTGCTCCATAAAGTTAAGGGAGAAATGAGATGAGATTCCCACTCAGAATAAAATCTGGAAATACATCACACAAGTTTCTTCTCCTTTATAATCCAGTGGGAATTTGGCTGTAATGAACTAAACGTTTCAGTGAAAGTCTGACTGTACTGAGACTCTTAAATTGCTTTGCTGCATTTCAACAGCTACTTAGTAGCACATATATTCAGAACATTTAAACCTTCTGATTGAAGAGTCTGAGCTGAACTGGAGACTAATTAGCAGACTTCTTTTGCCCACTGTCAGGAATTTTACTAACTCTACTGGTCATCTGTAAACTCATGGATTCTATTCTGTACAATAGGTCCTTAGACTGAATTTCATTTTGGGGAAAAAAGTGTGAATACAATGCAGGCAGAAGACTATGACCACCTATTTTATCAGCTCTTCTCAACTTAAATATGAGCCTGAACTTTTTTCTCTATTTGTAATTGGATGGCATCTTTTTCATTCTTTCTTTTTTTAAGCACTAGAATGAAGACACTATATGAAACCTCAAACCATACTTGAAATCTGCAGTAAGCTGAACTACAGTCCATTCTACTCTGCACTAGGGCTGCACATTTGGGTTTTTATACACTATCTCGCCTTAAAGACACTGATACAAATGTCCTTTACATAGATAAGCCTACAGAGTCCACTGATAAAAAAGTTTCTATTGTAAAAGAGTTCCATACATTTAAGTCACTTTTATAACATACTTGAGTTCCTTTAATTCACGGACAGCATCATTTTTTTGCTTTCTCATATCATCCAGGTTGCGGAGAGCTTCAGCCAAGTCGCTTACAGCCCTGTCTCTCTCCCTCCTCAAGTTGTCGCACAAAGTCCTTTAAAAAGTCAAGAGGCTTAGGTGAAAATGTTAAAGTTGTAACTTATAATTAGTAACTTATGGTATGGAGACCAACACAAGGAAAAGTTGAGTAGTGACGGGAGGTCAGTCTGACTTGCTTGTGTTTGTTGTCAGGTAAAATGAGAGTTTTTGAAGAATAAGAAATAAACAAATTTGCCTTCATCAGAACACGTAAAAAAGGCTAACATATATTAATGAATTAAGTTATTCTCAGTGTTGCTGTGAAGGAGTTGCATGTTATCTTATATATAGGGAAGCTGAGGAAAAGAGATTAAATGATTTATGCAGGACTAGACAGAAAGTCCATTGCTGTATTGGAAAAAAAACAAGCAACTCAGCCAATATAACAGCAATTTTATTCCTAGTCATCCTCTTTAACCACACAGAAATTCTTCCTCTTATCTAGCAACAGAAGTGATGTAGGTGTTTTGAACTGGATTCTAGGAATGAAGGGAAAGAATGCCTTCTCCCTAGGCCATTCTCCTGTATGTTGTGAAAGGAGCAAAGTTACTGTGATAACAACAGAGCAGATTGAAAAAATAAGATGCCTTGGAAAATCCTCCCATTATAAAAAGGCAGACCTTTCCTATTAACAAAATACACTGTGATGAAAACATGCATCGGTTCCTAGAAGCTAAAATATATGCTACCAAAAGCCAACTGAGAAGATCAAGAGGACAATAAAAAAACCCCACAGAACTAGCATATAGTTTCATAGTTGGTGAGGTGGGAAGGGACCTGAGCAGATCATCAAGTTCGACCCCCTGCCATGGCAGGAAAGAGTACTGGGGTCAAACGACCCTGGCAAGGTGTTCATCCAGCCTCCTCTTAAAGACCCCCAGGGTAGAAGCCAGCACCACTTCTCTTGGAAGTTGGTTCCAGATCCTAGCCGCCCTGACTGTGAAGTAGCACCTCCTGATATCCAGCATATAGTTTAACATCCATTTACCGTATGCTCTCTCTTTCTGCAACTATCTTGTCTCGCTCTTGAAAGGCCCAGTCTCTCCTACATTTAGCTACTTCTGCTTCTTGCACAGCTTCTTTTAGCTCTTGTGACATTGCCTCATATTGCTTCCGAAGCATTTCGATTTCTTTGTTAGCTCGTTCTATATCCAGTGTAGCAGAATCTTGTATCTAGAAATTCAAAGATAGACAGACAGATAAACAGATATAGATTTTATGTGAAATTCATAGCATAAGTACAAATATTTGGTTTTGTAACCTTTACTGAATATGTTTCATGAAGGGCTCAATCTGGAAGTAATTCTTAAGCAAAATTATCCTTTAGGACAGGGTGGGCAAGATGCAGCCCGCTAAGCCATTCTATCCGGCCTGTGGGGCCCCTAAAAAATTTAGAAAATTAATATATCTGCCTCTGGCTGCATGTCATGAGGCCCTCAATGGCTTGCCAAAACTCAGTAAGTAACCTTCCATGTGAAATAGTTGCCCGCCTCTCCTTTAGTAGGAAGTCTTCAACTAAAAAATTTGCCAGGGTAAAGATTCAAAAACGTGGTTCAAAACTTTCAGTCAAATTAGGGTATCTGATACTCAAAGACTTGCAGGCCTGGGATAACCAGTGTTAAGGTTTCTCATGTTAGGATAAACACACACAGAATTCATATTTCAGTGATGCCATTTCATGCTCAGTGGACAGTTTACCATAAACAAAAGTTGTCTAAGGACATACAGAAACGAGATACTGCACAAAGAAGAAATATGTCTATGACATATTCTAACAGGCAGCAAAAATCTGGAGTGCATCTACACTTGAGATTCATAATTCCCTAAGGATAGTTTTAGAACACATCCCACTTTTGTTTTAGTTACATGAATCCAAACTCTGAATTTTCAAACAAGATTTGATTTCCTCTTTTAAATGTAGAAGTTGATCCCTTCATCATTCCTGATTCTGAACACAGGAAACAGTGACAAAGGCAAAACTGACTTTAATAGTTTAAACTAATAAACTAAAGAGACTTCAATACCTGCAGCACAAGAAGCACACACTTATACTATCACCATCAGAAGAAGGCACTGATCCTTTAAAAAATTATGGACATTCTTATTTTTATAAGCATGTGCTATTGAATTCAATTAGGCTATTTACATGGGTAAAGATAATTATGGAGGCCCACAACTAGGCTCCATCTCCTGCCCCCCAGCTGTGGATGCAGCCGGCAGGTGCCAGCTCTAGGGAGGCCAGGGCGTGCTACAGCCCTAGGTCAGCTTATGCTCCTGCTCTGGTGAGGCAGATGCAGGGAGTGGGGGGGGGCCCTCAACAGATCACCAAAACTCATTAACTCAACCTCCAGCCTAAATAATTGCTCACCCCTGCGCTAAAGGTATACAGAGGAATCCTATCAATGATAGGGGAGCCAGTCCTGCTAGTAACAATGCTTTTAAATCTATATTCATCCCCAAACAGGTTTTATGGGCAATGCCATGCAAACTCTGCCCTCCTTCCACCCCATCCCTCCAAAAAATCTAATTCTAATGTACAGCATGAAACCTAGGAGTTTCATGTACTGAGACCTAGGAAGGCCTAGCCTGTTGATCTGTCATTTTCCTTCCCATTCTTCTTTTTCCATGATCCCCATCCCTCCCCCTCAACCAAAACATTTCTCAGAAAACTGTAAAGTCTGACGCTCACAATTCAGAGTCTATCAAATGCAACTATCGGGGTCATTTTGCTGAGGGGGATAAGATGCCTACAAGATACATGACCAAACTTACTTGCATCCCTTCAACATTAGAAATCATGCCTTCCTCCCATGTTAGAAGCTATCAAAGAGGAAAACACATTTCTTGCACAATAAGGAACAAAGTGGGAGGCATGTATTTTCTGTGGCCTGAGCCACAAACAACCAAAACCAAAAAAGGGTTCTACTCAGCTCTGTTGAATTTCTAATTTAATTGCTCACCCAGATGATGATTCAAGGTTGAAGAATCTACATAGTGTGGCAGGGAATGAGGGTTGAAGGTTTCTTTCTCCGGGTTTTTTTTTGTTTAGTGGGGGAAGGAGGTTAAAGGGAGGGACAGAGAATCTGCTCTGATCAATGGGTGATGCCACGAGAAAATCATTAAAAAAAAAAAGACAATATTATCTTTATAAAACACCCTAAAAATCCGAATGCAAAAATTACTTTTGTGCCTTTCACAAAACCAGAGAAAGCCAGGATGATATATCTTATTTTATACATATATACCTTTATAGTATAATGACACTACAATGGTAACATACATAGATCTGTGCAAGACTGCATACAATACAGCAATATCTCTATCTAGATATATCTATAAAATTAAAATGAATATTTTAACCTTACATAAGAACTGCCATTGACTGGGTCAGACCATAGGTCCATCTTGCCCAGTATCCTATGTCACACAGTGGCAGAGAATAATAGATGCTGAAAGAGAGAGTGAGCTGGGTATGACCAAGGTTTTTTTCCCTGTGTTCCTCTCTCACTTTCAGCCTCCAGCATGTAAGGTTTAGGAAGTTCTGGAAAACAAAACAAGACAAAAAACCTTTATTTGTTCACTCTGTGGCAGCAGTCTGCAACATTTTTAAGTAGGAGATCACCTTTGGCATTTAAAAAGTAACCCAAGATCTACCATGTGCTGCTGCCACCCCCGCCCAGCAGGTAAGTCTGTTGGGAGGGAAGGGGGGAGGAGCAGATCGAGGCAGAAAGAGAAAAAATTACTGGGGGGCGCACCTCTCTAGCAGGTAAATCCCACCAGGCTGGGGCCCCACTCAACTTACCCCTGCTCCTGCTTCTGTGGCACTGTCCCTCACTGCAGGGGCCTCGATCTAGCCCCTGCCCCTTCCCTCCCCCACGGACTGACCTGCTGGGCTGGGGCAGGCGCATGCATGCACATGAGCACACAGCCCCCCCACCCCAGCCTCGGATCTACCACAAGAGGCTCCGAGATCTATGACAAGAGGCTCCAAGGTCCACTGGTTGGTGATCACTGCTCTATGGCATGTTAGCGTTTTGTGTTCCATCTATCCTATTCATGTTCATGGTTTCCTTATTTTTTAATGTAAAGGATTTATGGAGAACAGAAAGATGTCCCATACTTGACAATAATTTTTCCTTTAGAATAGATTAAAAAGTGGTAACATGTCGAAAATATGTTATAGACATAAACAGCACTGACTGATTGTTAGCGGAACAGAAAGCATTACAGGTGGAAATAGGTAACCTATGGTTGGACTACAACAATCTATTAACCATCTACCTTTATTAATAGAAATTTAAAGCAAGTCTGACTGAATTTATTTATTTTAAACAATAAGCTTCATCATTCCTCTCTAATAAGGGAGGTACATGTGCATACATATGGTATTTTCTTTTGACTTGACAAAAAAGGTTTTGTGCCAAGATCTTTGAAAGCCTGCCGAATGGAGTTATAACTTCTAAGCTAAAAAGAAAAAGCCATCTATGAAAACAGGCATTACCTGACGAGCTTGATAATATTCCCTTAGAAGATGATCTCTCTGGATGATAGCCTCTGTTCTCTCTTTCCTGGCAACATCTCTTTCTTCCTTCACTGTCTCTATATCCTTGCAAGCTTGATCAAGTTCCTTCTGGGCCTCAGCCTTGTCCTTCACTTCATGACAGTACTTTTCCAGCAACTCATTCCTCTCACAAATTGCTCGATCTCGTTCCACTAGAGCCGAGTTTAACTCCTAAAATGAGATCCATTGTTTGCAATGCGTTAAGTACAGGAGTTCTTCCTTCTGGTTGAACACATTAACACCTTAAAAATCTGTAATCTACAGGTAATGTTCTGCCAAAGGGGGAAACTGTATAGCACTGCACGTGTTAAATGAAGAAAAAGAATAGATAGCAATATTAAGTACAGTGCCAGAGAAAAATTTTTAACACCCTGCTGTGTCTAAATAATATAGCAGGCAACTAGGAACACTCATCATTTTAAGAAGATTACATCTGTTGCAATCCCTCAGGAGTCACAGATACCCAGTCAGGTATAATAAACTCTTACAGTGGTGGCTTTAAATACAAACAGGTTTATACAAATGTTCACTGCTCCATTTTACAAAATGTGAAGTATACACTTAACTCATGATGTTATTATGTTCTTTGATTTTTTCAGGGTAATATTTTACAACCTAAAGTGATAAGTGCACTATAGTTTTCAATTTATTTTAAAAGAGCTATGAGTATAATTGAGTAAGATACCATAATGTATACTACTAGTATGAAATACTGCAATAAAAATACAAACTGAGACTGTAGCCATAACAACCATAAACTATGCATCTTAATAAATGGCATTTTCAACTCAATTGCATTGCATTAAAAAGGAATTAAGAAAAGAAAGCAAGGTGTGAAAGTACTACTCCCAGACCAGTACAACACCATGCAGAAGACTGGTTCAATTCCCAGAGCCAGGTTCAGGCTCTATATGCCAGCAACACCAGCTGGACTATAGAAGCAGCCCTGGTCCCTTCTACACTGGAGCAGAAAACATATTTTTTATAATCCAGCTCTCCTATAATGAGGGTTTTTCCAAAGAGTTTAATTGGAATTTAATTTAATCAATAAATCTCATAGATCATAGAGAAGTAAGGCTGAAAGGGACCTTTTTTCAATCCAGGGTAAATGATGCCAGAGAGACTACAGGAAGAAAAAGTACCTTGCACTTTCAATACCTCTTGCTTGATCAATGACAAAGAATAGACTCTAAAAGAATGTCCAGACCTCATAATAATGTCTCAATGTAGCAAGCAAGACTGACAAGGAGGCTGTCCTTACGGAGGAGAGCTATTCAGCTGGAAAAGGTAATTTAAAGCTACCTGTCCCTGGAGAAAATATTCTGACAACATTTAGAATGTGAGAAAATTATACGTTTACTTCTAAAGACTCATTTAGATTGGTTCACCAATTCCATAGAAATATTCTCATTTTTTGACATATTCTATAGGTCATTTCTAACAAGAATGCCTCAAAGGGAAAGTTACTTTATTTACTATGTTTACTACAAACATTTCTATTTTAGACGGCATCATTTTGCTGAAAGGACAAAAGGATTTAATCTGCGTTAATGATGAATTGAACAATTGGGCTCAGACAAATTGTGATGGCATGTGGAATAATAATAAAGTAACCTTGATACCTGTACAACAAAATAAAGCTCACTGCCATCCAAAATGGCTGACAAAGTAAGTGATTGTTGTAGATTTCAACACAGTACAAATTAAGCATTTCACTAAAAGCAGAACCACTGCCTAAAACAACAGTGGGAAATGCATTGGCAATTTCAAATCAGAAATCTTTTAGCTGGCCAAACAGTAGACAACCATAAATTTCTAAAACCAGAGGCAAGTTTTCAGAGAAAGAGAATGATATTCAGCTCAACAAAATACAGATGACAATTAAAAAAAAAAATCAAATCAGATGGACAATTTTCTACGAAGGCAAAAACTGAGTTGTCTCTGCTGTAACTGCACTACTGGCGAAGTGAAGTATGTGCTTTCCAGCTTCCTCTAAAGCACTGAAATGCACAAAAGATTTGCCTTGATCTTACAAAGGGTTCCATGAAAGTCAAGGCATTTTCTTCCATTTGGAAACTACTGACAGTTTAATCTATAGGTTCTTGGTCCTCAAATATCTCTAAAAAGAGACATGGCCTTAAGATGGGAAAAAAGGAAATAGACCCACTCTGCCCAATTAAAAAGGAAAATCCTTGGAAGGAAAGCAATAAAGTTAAATATTAACTATTCCATTCCTTTTTCAGCTTTAAGGGATTAAATACTGTTTATAGCATCACAAACAGTTATTTGCATGTTACAGAAATGGTGCACTGGCAACATAAAAAGTTACCCTTCAGTGAGCCATGGTGTTCAACTGATACTGGTAATGCCCCAGAGAAACAATTCTGCTGTATTGTCATAATAGAAAATTTTGTGCTAAAGGTGGAGACTTGTGTCAGGATTCACTGGTTCTATTCCCACTGTGGACTCGCTTTATGACCTTGAGTCAATCACTATGTCCAGTTTATGCTGACAATGGGAACTCAGTTCCTCTGAAAAAAAATCACTGTTAAACCCTTAAACTGTTAACTACAATAAAAGCTTAACTACACTATCAGTTTGTAGCAGGGCTTAAATAATATCTGTACAGAAAGTGCATTGTGATCTTTTGATATAAACACATATGGAAGTGACCGATCGTTGTTTTCAGCATGCAGTGCAGTGCAGTTTAAAAGCTACAGGATGGGGGTGGAGAAAGAACTATTTCAAACGCTTTTATCATATTTCTTTAAATAGTAGATCATACTTTCAAGCACTGGAAATATGTTAAATCTGTGAAGACAGAAGTTGTTGAAAGATAAAGTTCAAATCTTTGCTGAAAAAGTTAAGCTATTTAGTAAACAGAAACTTCCATACTGTAGCTAATTCTAAAAGGTGCCGCTACAGCCATAAACATAGGATAATGATAAGAAAAAAAAATGGGAAAAATTTTTTATTAGTCATTCTGCTTCTGCTGACAGGTATATAAAGTTTGAGGGAAGTTCAATTTCATTTCCACGTAATCAGTTGAGACTGTAGCAAGTTCATGGTTATTAACAGAACTACTGTTTGTAGCTGTGACAATATTTTTAAAGTTGTTTCATATTTGAATAAGCACAAATGCTGTACCAACATACACAGATATACTGTAAGATGAACATTTAAATGGATGCAGTGGTGTTTCAAGCAAATACTTAAGGACAATATAACATGTCAGTCATAACTGCAACACATCACTAGGTGGAGCTACACACCATAGACAGTAATGCAACTGCAACAAACAGTGTAGTCAAATTCACTGTTTATATGGGGTTCTCAAAGATCCCTATTCAAATAGGATTCAAAAGGAAGTTACTCCAAGTAATTGATTTTTTATTCATAAGCTTTGCCTAGAAATTAAACCCTGTATCATGTATTTCCCTTAGACAATCTCATAAAAGCAATTTCAAATGGTCACCAATATGACAAATCAGAGACAATTCACTCAGAGGCAGAATATTCTTTACATAATAGGAAAAAAATCAAAAAACTTAACTAAAGTGCAAACAGAGTAATACTTTGAAGCAGTTCTAGTATAAGTTACTTCAACATTCTTACTATGCAGGCACAAGAGTGCGATATGCCCTTAGAAACCATTCACAAAATGCCTATTCAAGAAAATGCATCTATACCCTAGCCAGTGACAAGAAACTTTTCATCTTTCTGTGACCTGTCTTTATTCTTTCCTGATTCAACCAGCCATCCAAACAGACTTTTCAAAACAGGCAGATAGCTACCAAGGAATATTTGTTTTACTTTATAATCTGATGATTTACGATTACTGGAAAAATACTGACTTGTGCATGCAGCATATTAAAAGTATTTTAAAAAACAGAATGATCAAGTTAATACTAGAGGTGCACCAATACATCAGTCCCATATCGGATTGGCACCAATATAGGGAAAACTGAAAGCATCTGAAATCAGCTCTTTTTGCCTCATGCAGCCATGGTCAATAAATGCCTCGTGCATGCACACAGCCACAGCATGCATGGGGCCAGGAGTACAGTCCGGCAGCTTGGAGACCAGCATCTGACTAGTAAGTCTGTTGTGGGGGAAGGGAAGGGGTGTTGGGGGAGTGAAGATCGAGGCCTCCACAGTGAGGGAGGAGTGGGGCTGGGGCAGGTGCTGCTCAGCCAGGGTAGGACACAGGACAGAGCTGTGAATGGCTAGTCTGGGGAGGCATGGAGGTGGAGGCAGCTCCTGCCCTGCATGGAGGGGTGTGGGGGGGGAGGGTGCCCCTGGACCTGCATGGCGTGAGGGTGGGCTCAGGCTGTGCGAAGGGACGGCACCGGGATCTTCCTGGCGGGGGCTGGCCCGGGCTGTGCTTGGGGCGGGCAGCGGTGGAGCTGGAATGGGGGCTACAGGGGGGCTATGGTGAATTTTGGGGTGGCTGCAGGCCCCCCCACCCCCGTAGCCCTGCTCCCAGTGCCACCTGGCCCAGCCCCCGCCGGGAAGAGCCCAGTGCCACCCAGGCCCCAGCTCTCAGTGGCAGTCTGCCCTTGCCCTGCACAGATCCAGGGGCACACACCACCCATGCCCTCCTGGAGTGTGTGCAGGGCGGGAACTGCCCCCCATTCCCCCTGTGTCCTCTAGACAAGCTGCCCGTGGCTCCATCCCATGCCCCACCCTGGCTGAGCAGCTGTCTGCCCCAGCCCCACTCCATCCCTCACCGTAGGGGCCTCGATCTGCCCACCCCATGCCCCTTTCTTCCCCCCACTCCTTCCCCCACACCAGACTTACCAGCCCCAAAATTGGTCTCCAAGCATCCCAGCTGCATATCTGAATTGGATCGGTATTGGCTGATATGGATCCTTCAAAATCGGCCATTGGTATCGGCCCAAAAAATCTCTGTTGGTGCACCCCTAGTTAATACATTTTACTATTTAGCATCAAGGTCCATATTGGAAATCCCAATAACATCACTGTAAGAAATTTGTCTTTAAATGTTCAAGAGGATGCTGGAGGTTCAACTTTTGAAATAATGCAATTATAAAAAGGTCCCTGAGTTTTTTAAATCAGCAAAAACCAATCTTATTTAAAAACCTATTTAATATCAAAGAAAGTAAATTAAAAAGAATATGGCTGTAATAAATTTTGAACAGATGTTGAATAAGTCAGCAGGTTTATTTTTTAATGCAAGTATTTTTTGTGGTTTTTTTTTATAGATGTTCCTGCCGAAAAGCACAAAAGGTAGAAAGGGGTGGCTCATTAAAAGGAAGAATTTCTAATGAGCTTCACAGAAGAAGTCATATTTCAACTGGCAAGCACTCTATTCAAATTCTAAGTGTAATACTAAAGTGCCAGAAAAGCATCAGCGGGGATTATCCTCTGCAATATAGCATTGTTTCCTGTTAACTTGTCATACATCTCTCACATGACTGGTTACAAGGAAGCACTTGTAAAGCTTTTTTATTACTCCCACCTGCCCCCTTACTGAAATGGTTCATTGGTACCTGTCTTAGGGCTTCCATTTCTTCACTAGCCACTCTTTTCTCTGAGGAAGTATTCTTCAGTTTGGACTCTGCAAGTTCCAGCTCAGTTTGAAGTTTATCCACCTCTTTGATTACTTGGTCTCTCTCACTCATTATGAGGCGATACTCATTGAAAACAGAGTCTCTCTCTTCCTTGTACTTCTCTGCATCCTTTGTTGCCTTCAACTGCATTGTTTTGAACCGTGTCACCTCTGACTGTAATCGTTCCATCTCCCTCTGCATCTCCTTGTTCTGCACAGTGGATTTGCTTAGCTCCTGTTGTACTGACTCAAACCTTGGAAAAAAAGACACAAAGGTACTTCCATCATTCTACATTTTTTCTTTTCCCATTTCACTATAGAATTTTACAACTGCACTATTTTTCAACCAAGCCTGCCTTCTCTCTTCAGAACTATGTTCCATCAAGCCAGGATCTACTTCTAGTCTAATGATACAGAAAATCTGAGGTTGTTATAATGGTTGGGGCTACAAATTTTTGATCAATATAGGAAAAAAGCCATAGGAGGTAAGACATAGGAATTCAGAAAGAACAAGATATAAAATGGAAATCAGAAATATTACAGAAAACAGCTGCTGTATAAATCAGTACGCTCTCACCTGAAATAAATATATTTAGTTTGAGTCCATTCAGTGCAGAAGAAAAGCAGCAGAGAGAAAAAAATGGGGTCCCAGATAAGGATGTAAAAAGTGACAGAAAGGTCATCTGCAATGATCACAGAAGGACTCTCTTATGGACACAGACCCCCAAAATTAGAACAGTTTGGTTCAATGCACGTACAAGAGAAGTACGAAAAATAAAGTGGAGCATGCTCTGAGTCACCTTTGATAGCACAATAAAGGGAAATCTAGGGCAACTGAAAGGTAATCAATTTTAACTGGCGTAAGCAGCAATTATTAAACATAACACATGGAAAACTTGTGGAATTTACTGCTAGTTTGATATTTTAGGGCAGAAAATTAATTAGATTAAAAAGAATTAATCTCCACATGAATAACAAAAACAGCCACAGGTATGTTATATATATCTATATTGATGTTGATATAAATATAGATATCTCTCTCTCTCTCTCTACCTGTGGGGCATGAATCAACATAGCTGGGAAATAAGAAGAAACTTTCTATGAGCTAATTATGCCATAAACGTGCAATGAGAGATTCCTTTGTATATTCTTCCTTCCTTTTTGAAGCCACTGGTTACTGCCCCTCTCAGTGACTTTAAGTCTTGCCCAATATGCCAACTCCTATAAGCTTCTGGCATATTTTGTCTTGAATTCACACCATACCATGTTATGAAAATGACTCTTGCCCAAGCCAGGCTTCCCGTTCTATCCACAGAGTCCGAGCAACATGTGGAGCTGCTGTTACAAGAAATGACTGGCTGAACTACAGTGAAGGCTGATTTTGTGAATGGTGGCCAGTGCCTCAAGGACACAATGCCTATTTTCATGCTACTTTTAGTGATCAGTTTCCTAGCCAGTAAAATGTATTCTTTAGGGGTGCACCAATAAAGATTTTCTTGGCCGATACTGATAGCTGATGATTAACCAACCATATTGGCCGACGTGGATCCAATAACCGATATTTAGTAATAGTGCAAGGCATCTTAAACTACTGACATAAATAAAGCTTTTTGTTTGTTTGTTTTGCATTTATAAACACACACATGCCTCCTGCCTGCTCCAGCCCTTGCTGAGAACGCAGGTGAACGCCTTATTTCCATGCACATCACCCCCTCGCTCACGACTCCTACCTGCAGCCCTGCTCCCCATGCTGCCGACCAAGGTGGGCAGGATGGACCCTCATGCAGACAGCAGTGTCGGGTGCATCTAGAGCCCTAAAGCAGACAAGGTTCCTTGAGTGAATTTGATATCTTTTATTAGACCAACCCAAATGGTTGGAGAATAGTTATTAAGCAAGCTTTCCTAAAGCAGACCACTGTGCAGCTGAGCTCCTGTGGCTGCCAGGGAGAAACCACTTTTGCAAAGGCGCACAGTGGAGCCAGATTTCCCTCATGCTGCGCCTTACCCTGCCCAGGCACAGCCCAGTATTTCCGGCGCTCAGGCCCCTGCTCTGCATGCCATGGTGGCAGCAGCAGGAGACAGTAACAGTCCCTTGGATGCTGAGCGTGGTGCACTGTGACCACTCCCTGGTGCCCCATCCATTGCTCGCCAGGACCTGTAGTCTGCCATGGGTTCAAGCCAGTGGCAAAGGTGTGGGGACTGGACTACCTGCCAGGGTGCTCCAGGCACATGGCTAATTATCAGCTACAATGACCAAATAAAGCCAATAATATTTCTCCTTTTATCAGTGCTGATCCAATAGCCAACCAATATAATGGTGCACCCCTAGCATTTTTTACTTTAGGAAAAGAAACTGAGACTGATCCACTGAACAACCAGTGGATCAACATCCAGTAATCATGAACATGCTCTAAAAAAAAAGCACAAGAGGAATAAAAACAGAAGAAATTACTCAATCTAATTAAGCTGCTTCCACATACTTCCAAGGAACAGGGCTGTACTTCCCAACATATTCTCCGACTTCATATTTGATCACTGTTAAGCCTGAAACAGACTTTGCAAGAAACTTCAGTTCTTCATAAGATCTCTTTTTACTCAGTGTACAGTAGTGGTTTTGAACTTATACTTGATGGCCCAGGTGGCCCCTTCCTGTTCTATGTTCCTATTTCACATGCCATGACATTATGTATATCCAGGCAGGTAGACAATAGAATTTAGGTAGAAGATAGGCCATAGCATTTACTACTTCTCCGTGTGGGATGTTCTGCAGGACAGGTCTAGAACAAGAATGTTCCATGCCTCTGCTAATGCCACCAGAATTCCAACATCCCTCACACGCAGCAAGTTATGCAGTAGCATAACTAGGACTGGGTGAGTGGGGCATTAGCTCTGGGAGCCAATTTAGAAGGGGTGTTCATGCTGTGGGGGCTGCTGCAGCTGGAGTACAGGGAGCTCATTTCTCAGCTGCAGCTGCCCAAGCCCATGCTACTGTCATAGCAGTATCAGCAGCAGCCACTACCACCAGCATGCAGAAACTGTTCCAAAGCAGGTGAGATTTCCCCACCTCCCCCATTCTCTAGTGCTTAGCACAATACCTCCCTTCCCTTCTGTCTCCCTCAACTCTACCTGGGGCATCAAAATAGCTAGATATGCCTTTCATACGACTTCACACAACTCCAGGAGTCCAATTATCCTGTGTAAAAAAGTATGACATGTTTTTCTCCATCAATTTTCAACTGAGGTATGTCACACCCACATAAATCACATTGAAAAAATATATCTATGTAGGAAACGTCTTCCTCCATTGATAAAGAGGCCTAGATTCACAGGATGATGGGAGGTACTTGGAAAAAGTATGCGTCAATCCTGGATGTTTGTCTCTGACCTTTATACAAACTGTGGCTAGCCCTCATCTCTGAAAATAGAGACTTCATCCATCTGTAGACCCTCTTCTCCACCTTAGTTATACTAGGTATTCCTTTGTCAGTAATAATGTATGCTTTAACAGAAGCCAGGAACAGATTAGGAGTAAGTGGGTATATCTACACGACACATTTTCCAAGGAGTTTCTTCATTAGCTCCACAGTAAACATCTCAGCGTCTACACATGAAGTGCTATTAGGATGGGGTAAACTAATTAACTCCACCACAAGTTAGCACTTGTAAACACAAATACTATCCTGTGGTAGAGTTTTTTTTACTCTGCAGCAATACACATGTAGAGGGCTGGCTATGGCATGAGGGTGCACCAGTTCAGGGTTAGCCACAGCAGGCACCCCCTAAACTGAAGCACCCTCGTAACCCCAGCCAGCCCCTCTGCAGCATGGTTTCATAGTCGGTAGGGTTGGAAGGGACCTAAGCAGGTCAAGTCTGACCCCCTGCCATGGGCGGGAAAGAATGTTGGGGTCAAATGACCCTGGCTAGGTGATCGTCTAACCTCCTTTTGAAGACCTCCAGGGTAGGGATGAGCACCACTTCCCTAGGAAGTTGATTCTAGCTCCTAGACACCCTGACAGTGAAGTAGTGCCTCCTGATGTCTAGCCTGAACCTACTCTCAGTCAACTTATGGCCGTTATTACTTGCAACTCCCGGTAGCGCTCGGGGGAACAGGGACTCTCCCACTGCCTGCTGGTCCCCCTTGGCCAGTTTATAGACAGCCACCAGATCCCCTCTCAGCCTTCTCTTGTGGAGGCTGAACAGGTTCAGATCCCGTAGCCTCTCCTCGTAGGGCCTGCCCTGCTGCCCCCTAATCATGAGAGTGGCCTTCCTCTGGACCCTCTTTACGCTATCCACATCCCTCCTGAAGTGCGGCACCCAAAACTGGACACAGTACTCCAACTGGGGCCTGACCAATGTCACATAGAGGGGGAGGATCACCTCCTTGGACCTGCACATGTGGATGCATGACAAGGTGTGGTTAGCCTTCCTGACTGTGTCCTCACATTGGTGGCCCATGTTCATCTTGGAATCAATAATGACTCCAAGATCCTTTTCTGCCTCTGTGCTGACGAGAAGGAAGTTCCCCAGCCTGTAGGTATGCTGCTGGTTCTTCCTCCCCGCCCCGTGCAGTACCTTGCACTTGTCAGTATTGAAACCCATCCTGTTCTTGTCTGCCTATCCCTGTAACCTGTCCAGATCTAGTTGCAGCCTGTCCTTCTCCTCCAGCGTGCCTACTTCTCCCCACACCTTAATGTCACCTGCAAATTTGAACAAGGTGCTTTTCACCCCCTCGTCCAAGTCGCTGATGAAGATGTTGAACAGTGTGTGCCCGAGGACTGAGCCCTGGGGACCCCACTGCCCACATCACTCCAGGTCAAAAATGACCCGTCCACCACCACTCTCTGGGTGCGGCCCTCCAGCCAATTTGTGACCCATCTGACTGTGTAGGCATCAACACTACAGTCGCCTAATTTTTTTTTTTTTTTTTTTAAATGAGGATGGGGTGGGAGACAGTGTCAAAGGCCTTCCTAAAGTCCAGAGAGACAACGTCCACTGAGACACCTGCGTCCAGGGCTTTTGTGACCTGGTCGTAGAAGGCAACCATGTTGGTCTGACAGGCCCTGCGTCCAATGAACCCATGTTGATTGCCCCTAAGCATAATCTCCTCTGCTGGTCCCTTGCAGATGTGCTCCTGGATAATTTTCTCAAAGAGCTTTCCCAGGACCGAGGTAAGACTAATGGGCCTATAGTTTCCTGGGTCCTCTTTCCTCCCTTTTTTGAAAATGGAGACCACATTGGCCCTTTTCCAGTCCTCTGGCACCTCGCCAGAGCACCATAAGTGCTCATAAAGCTGTGCCAGGGGTCTCACAATGACCTCTGCCAGTTCCCTCAGCACTCTAGGGTGGAGATTTCATAGATTTTATAGACATTAGGACTGGAAGGGACCTCGGAAGATCATCGAGTCCAGCCCCCCGCCCAAAGGGCAGGAAGTCAGCTGGGGTCATAGGATCCCAGCAAGATAAGCATCCAGTTTCATCTTGAAGGTGTTCAATGAAGGCGCTTGAACCACCTCCGGTGGCAGGCTGTTCCAGACCTTGGGGGCTCGGACAGTAAAGAAGTTCTTCCTTATGTCCAGCCTGAAACGATCTTGAAGTAGTTTGTGACCATTCGACCTTGTCATCCCTTGGGGCGCTCTGGTGAACAAACGTTCCCCCAGATGCTGGTGGTCCAGATAATTGGGACCTGCTGATCTGAACACTTCTAGTCCCTCCAGAAGTTCCCTGACTAGGTCCTCACTGACCCTGGGCCTGGCTGCGCCTTCCCTGGGTTCGTCCAGATTCCTAGTGAGGGGGATGTCCCTGTCCCTGCTCAGAAAAGCCAGACTGGTAAACCAGATTGGAGCAGCGCTGGGAGCAGTTGATCCTTCAGGCTTCCTGCCATACTGGGCTGCTCTGACCTGGTTCAATGTGCTGCAGTCCCAGGAGCACATTCAAATGAAGCACCCAAAAGCAATAAACTCCAGCAAGATATGCACATTAATTAATTGCCTGTGTAGATGTGCCCAGTAACATGGTGCTAAAAATACCTGTGTCCACTTTGTGCTGGTGCACAAACCACTGGTACTACTTCTGAAAACCAGGCAAATACTTCTCTATAAAGAAGGAGATTCAAAGAGCACACCCTGTTCAGCGTGTCCTCATGCATGTTGAGGCCAGGGGACAGCACTAATCTAGATGAGTACAGCCTTGGATTCCATTACAGGTCATAAAGATTTTCACTATGCTTGAGGTCCTCTTCATTGACCAAAACACCATTAGCAGAACAGAAACTCTACCTGGCAGGTTGCTTATGCTACAAGAGACTTGTCATCCATTAAGTCTGAAGTTCATTAAACCTAGCAGATAAACCTCTCACTTTTTCAAGTTTGAAACTTAGGATATACCTTTGATCCCATTACTACAGGCAGGAGGCAAGCATGATTCTAAAAGCAAAATAAACCCAGAAGGATTTTAAGTTTTCTTACATAAAACTGAAGGCTAGTTCATACAGGCCTTCAGACTAAGATATAAAACTACTGTCCTCGAAAAGATTGTGCAGGACATACCTCTCCCTGCACAATGCTTTCCAGTCCCCCTTTATATGGGCTTTTTTGCATGGCTATTAATATGCATTTACTGTACATAAACACATGGTTATTGAAATATCTGTGAACCTGCCCCAGTAAAAATGCCACCTAGTGTCACCAACACGCTACGTAAGAAATACCTGAAAAACTGACTCTACCTTCTAAGAGAAGAGGAATACTGTTGCTGGAAATGTATTGCTGTATCTCTCTGCTTCATTAACATATCGATCTGCTTCTGAAGGCGTCTGTTTTCCTCCTCTGCCTGTTCTAGACGGCTAAGGTCTGTATTGTGACTTGCTATTTTCTCATTGTACCGTTTCCTTAATGCATCATAATCCTTCTTCACACCCTCCAGTTTATCCATTGCTGTATCGTAGAGTTTATTTAGTATCTCCGATGAGCCATTTTGTTTCATAACCTAAAAAAGAAATGAAGTATGATTTTGATAAAAAGGTAACAAAATATAATGCCCATAAGAGGTACATATCTACACATTTTACCTACTATCAGAGAAAGAAAAGTTCTTTCAGTTGCTTTTAGCTGTGAGGTTTCTCCCTTGGGAGTGGTAGGACAGAGATAGGGAGGAGAGGGAGAGGAGGGGGAAACAAATGGAAAGAGTTTTCTTATACCTGGAAGCAAATGGGGGTTGGGAAGCACAACTGACATTTCCTGGATGGTTCTCTTTCCTGGGTGAGAGGCAGAGAAGCAGAAGTGAGGGGAGATGGGAAAGGGGAGGAAGAGGGGGAGTTTTCAAATTTCAGAATGTCGTTGGGGGGGAAGAGGGGGGCTGGTTTGGGTTTCTTCCCCTGATCAGTGGGTTATTTGTTGTTTATTCTAAATTACTCTGAGCAGATCCAGATGCCTCAGGATATAAACCTAACTGCTACTACTACAACTAGTACTACTACTATGAAAATCACAGCAGACCTGGTTATATCTAAAACTACTTAATTTTTGTATACTACTTTTCTCCTCAAACTTAATGTTCAAGAAAAAACAAATCTTTAAACTGAAATAGCCACTTATAAAAGTGAATCTACATACAATATTTTTATCTTTGGATTAGTAAATTTGTGTGCAATATTGCACCCGTAGGAGTAGCCCCCCAACAAGTAGCTTGTCTTAAACCAATAAAGTAACTTTTAATTAAAAATAAACATACAATCAGGATAAAAAGTAACTAAAAGGTGCCGATAGTCTTATTAATGGAACTTTTGAACAAACTGGATAATTTCCTGGTACAAAACAACTCTTCAAACAATGATTAACTCAGTAATGTAGTAGCGGTAATTTAGAACATTACCACAAAGCAGCATTCAGCAAAATGGCCAATCTTTATAATCACACTAGCAGTTACTCCAGCAATTTATATTTGAAGAGATTAAACGTTAATCTGTAGATACAATTTATATGGAATCGAAAATGAATATTCATCCACAATAAAAAGGTATTTAATCCAAAATCCACACATTTAGCGCATGTGTTCAGAAAACCATTAATAAATATTAATAAGGACAACAACATGTTATGTTGACATGAATCTAATTTGGCCTAACCTACAGATAGATTTAAAACTTCTAGACAACCTGAACAAAAAGATTGCTTCCACCAAATTAAAAAAAAACAACACATTGATTTTAAAACAAACAAAAAATACATATCTGTTTTCACTTCATGTACCACAAGAGAAAAGAGAAATCTTGTAAACCACTTTCCATCTCATTTACAGTTATGCAGACCACCACCACAGCATTTGGAATTGGCCAACTTCCCCTTGGCATGTATCATTATTACTCTCATTATTACTAGCTCCCAGTTTCCTGGTGCTTGAGCTTCAGGCAACTGAGCAATGAAAACTGGATGCTTGAAGAATTAGCTTCATCTAGTATGAGACTGCCAGCTCTCAGCAGACCACCAGTTGCCCACAGACTGCAGGTAACAGCTGACCTTTAGCATCACGTATCCCCACAAGAGAAAGCCAGTCCCTTTTAACTAACCTACATGGGCAAAAACATCTAGGTGTCAAAACTGAGCTGTTTGACTTTCAGTGAAGCTGGCAAATGGACGTTAAAAAGCTTCTAGTTTAGGCAACTTAGCAAGATATTTAAGATAGGTATGTGTTTTCAGTTAGCCAACATAACTGCCTTACTGAACTGAGCCCTAGGCTCCATAGCCTTATATGGCTCCATATATTGGAAATCGTTTAAGCATGTTTGTATCTATCCCTATTCAAAAAAGTTTGTTGGGGTTTCTTTTTGGTTGGTTGGCTGGCTGGTTTTGTTTTTATAATTCTGGAACTCTGTGGTTTTCATGTCAAGCACATGCTTAAGAGCCCTTCCTGGACTAGGGCCTTAATCATCACTGAACTACCTAAAAAAATAAAACAAACAGTACTTGGGGCTAAATATTTGACACTCCCAGGGAGAAACAAAAATTTTCCCACAGCCTAAAAGATAAGATACCCTTTCTTGTTGAGAACATCTTATACAATTATCTGATGCACCTAACAAAGTATGGAGACAAGGCCAAAGATGCCAGGAGTTTTAGTACATTTAAAATAAAGACACTAAAGCACACATTGGGGCTTGGAAGGGAGAGGAAAAGAAAATCTCACATACAGAAAGCACAGCAATATGGAAGATCTTCTACCCAAAACCTTACTATAAGGAGGAATAAATAGTCTCAGCTGGAATAAAGGGGACACCCATGACAACAGAAAGCATCACACATGAGCAGCAGAAATGTAAGCCAGTCTGCTGTTGCAGAGCACAATAATGGCTATCCCATGCTAGGAGTAAACTGACACAAAGTGTCTGTTCCTCTGGCAGTTGGGAAGCCGTTTTGCTACAGTCTGATGACAGAGTGACACGTCATAGGTCAACAAAAATAGAACGTCATTAATCTGGATGAGAACTGACAAAGCCAAGTCAAGAATCTTGATGACATCTCCTCAAGACAACACAATTCAGTTTGCCATGCCAAAAGAAGCCATAGTGGTTTCCCATGAAGGATAAAAGACAAAATTTTGTTTTAAAAAAGTAATCATGAAGTTTCCTAGGATTGAATTACTTTACAAAAATCATTTAATGATAACTCCAGTGTTGCATAGAGCAATCTCAAATTAAAGGACTAACATTAAGACCATGGGCCCTTCTACAGTAGGTTTTATTTTTCCATTTTCCAGAACAAGAAATGGAGGCACAGCCTGATTACGTAGATTGCCTAAATTTACAGCAGCACCACTGATTCCTGATGTAAACCCAGATTTCTTTTCTTTTCCTTTTTCCTTTTTATTTAGGAAATGATAGAAACAGCACTCTAACGCTACAGTAATAATACATAGGAATTGCATAAATTATTACATTTACAAAGGAAATAAAATACAGTAATTCCTATAACTTATCATCTATCCTATCAATGTTAGCTGGAAGTGCCTCACTTCTTTATATCATATAGCCGGAAAAATAATATCTACACCATGTTTAGTCTACTTAATATATCTATAATACTGTTCTGGTCCGCATGTACTGTTTAATATATATTCACACCCTAAAATTAACTTTACTTACTAGAGCTTCCAATGTTCCCCACCATTATTTATCCCATCCAGTTTCCCTCCCAGTTGGATTCCTAAACAATCCTTATTTTCAGACCCTCCCTCTTCTCCCCAACCTCATTCGCCCAAGCCAATTTTCCTCCCTTTTGAATTTCCAAAGGATGCTTATTTTTGTATCCTTCACCCCTTTCATGAAATGTGGAGATTCACCCTAGCCCTCAGATGCAAAGGAATTTTTAATCCCACCACACCTGAATACTGAACTCCTTTCCTAGGAGGTTCCTAACTCCTACTCTAGGATGACATGGCAGTATATGTAGCTTGTCAGATACTGTTTTCTGGAGGGAGTTGTCAGAGCCATATTTCAGGCTCACCCCTTCCCCCCATTATACTATATTTATACTCCTCCCCCAACCCCTCACCCTTTGCTTTTAGATTTGAAATGAGTCTTTACTTCCCCCTTTTCTTATTTATTTTGGTTCCCAACATTGCTGGGGGTGGGGGGTTACGCCCTTTGATATTCCTTCTTCTATTTTTCTTTTCTTCTCCCTCAAACTATTATTCAGTCCCATTCATATCCTCTTTAATACCCCCAACATTGTGATTTCTTCTATTCTCATTGTTCTTGTACTTTGATAGCTTCTTTCTTCTTAGCTTAACAGTTTGCCATTCAGTATTATGGGGATGCTTCTCATTTTCTGTGTCGGTCTCAGGTCGAGATTCTGGGGTGCTTTCTACTAAATTAGTTTCTCAAGGATTTTAAGATCTTTTTTTATTCCTTTATAAGCTACTGCTGTTCTTGAGATGGGATTTTCCTTTTAAACATATTACATCTGTATCTTATATTAGCTTGCCTGAGAGATGCTGTAATTCTTCACTCAGTTCCTTTCTTCTCTTTAACGTTGCCTGTGACAATTCTTTAAACAGTTGTATTTTATATTCTCTCAAAGTAGGAACAGATGTCTCGCTAACCACCTTCAGAATTCTGTGCTTTGCTGTACATCATTCAAAACTAGTAAGCGAGCTAGTATTATATATCTTGGTTTGTTTAAATTGGGGGTCCAAGTATAGAGACCTCTGTGTATTCCGTCTGCAAGGACTGTTGACTTTGTTTTCAGTTGTAGGAAGGAGAAGAATACATGCTTTAAATTCTTGTTATTTCTTTCATGATTTTCTATAATCTCAATTTTCTCTGCAAGCTCCTTTTTTTTTTCTCCCCCTTCCCCACCAAATCATCCTAATTTTATTTAAAAGATTTACTGTTAACTGCAGGTTTCCCTCCACCTTTATATCCAGGTCTATGACCCTAGCCCCAACTTTTCTCTTCACTTTGATCTTGCCAAACTATGCCTCCACAGAAGATTTTAAAGCTCTGATTTCTGAGACTAAACTCAGCAAAGTCCTCTCTGATCAAAGGGGCTGTTTGTTTTGTCTTTCTCCTTCTCTGCTCTGCCTGTACTGTTCAACCCTATAGGAGCCTCCTTTGACTGCAGATGCTGTGAACTGTTCTGAATGAGGATCTTCAAGCAAGTTTCTTCTGGGGAAGCAGCTTTTCAATTAGATACCTTTACATGGGGTATGTAGTCTAAAAGCAGGGAAAATGTTTTTTTGGGGAATTAAAGGGGGTCAGGTACATCAGCAATGTCTGTGGATTATGCCATCTCTTCAGTGGAAGTCTAGCTTCAGGTAGCCATCTCAAGCCCCACATAGATTCAGATTTCTAGTGAACCAACCCCTAGTACAATCCATAGTAAATGCCATTCAAGTTAACAGGATGCCATATGAATGGAGCAAGATGAAATACAAAGGAAAAACAAAACTAAACCACACCTATGTTTCTACTGCTTATTTTGACCTTTACTCTTCAAGCTTGGCAATTATTTTTGTTTGCACAGACTTTCTGAAACCTAACATTTGACTTGAAAGTTTGTCTCGTGAGTCATCCTAGAGTTAAGCAAGACATTCTATTTAACTGTTCTACATGTTACAGTAACCATTCTACCTAAATAATCAAACATTTCTGTACATGAACCATGGACTCAATGCCATTTCCAGGTTGCCCCCCCGCAATCTCTCTTGCCTATTTTTCTCCAAAGTGTGTGAACTTTACTACTATAAAAATCCCTTTGGTGTTGAGACAGCTTAATTGTTACATACAGTTTAGAAAGTCCATTCTTTTATTCCTGAAAAGCTCTTTTTTTTGGTTTGAAGTTTAAAAGCATTAATCAACCCATAGCATTGTTCTAACTGAATAGTGTCTGTGAACCTAAATAACCAAACTTTGTTCAATCATTCCCCTAACCTTTAAGGCGTCACTAGAATAAAGAAAAACTGTCACTCATTTTTTGTGATTCTTTCCAAATATAAACATAGTCTGGACTTTTGCATGCCCAAAGCAAATTTTGTCCCTAGAAAAGTCCTAAGATGTAGGGAGAAAAGCTTTATCAATTTAATGAAGTTCAATAAAAATAAATAAATAATGAACAGTTAAATATTAACATATCTGCCCAGCATTACAATATCAGTGCAGATGTGTTTTGGTTTACTGTTATTCTGGCAGTAGTAGTGCTGTTACTTGTCTCAGGTCTCTATTAAAAACTTTGATGCTACGGAGTATGTAATTCAGTACAAATCTCTTTCTTGGCTATCCCATAACTGTTGCCTCTCGAAGTGTATCTGGATGAGTCCTTTCCCCCATTTTTCCCCCAAAGAGTTCCCATTAATATTTTTCCTGGATTGTTGAACATTTTAGTTCCTTTCCATGCGGATTTCTGGCTCTTAACCCCATATGCTCTCCATGAACCTTTTCCTAGCTTCAGTCAGTCACATGCTGGTCTCTCTTTTCCCAGAATAATTCATGTATAACTACAATCGACTTCCTCTCCCACTTGCAAACTTCTGCATCTTAACTCCCTCGTTTACTCAAAGCCTCCCAGTCAATTACCAATGGAGACCACCATGGTAGATAAGGTAGTGCCCTTCATGTTCTTTTGGGGAATGGTAAGACAGAACAAAGGCAAATCTCTCTTTGTCAGGTTCTGAGAGAGACTTCATATCCTACATCAAGTCTGCAGGACTGGATAGTTAGCTAAAAAAAATCCTTTTTACTTCTAAAAGTAAAAATTACCTGGAGTCACTGAGAGACAACCTAAAAGTCATATATCTTTATGACTCTAAAATATCATACTTTTGTCAAATTAAATGGCAGCTATGCGCATTTCATTATCAAAAATTTGTGTTA